TAATATCGCTTTTGTGTGGAGGCCGTTCATATGAATTTCATTGGTAAAAGCCACCAATTGTAAGCTCTTGTAAAAGTATGTACCTTACTCTGCAACATTAAGTCCCGGCGAGGTCCTTCCCAATTCTGCGCTTCTGTCCAGCATCAGTTTACATATAAGTTTACATATAAGCTCTGGGAAGCCCCATTTCGTGTTGATGAATACAGCTTTAAAATCGATGAAAAAAAGGTACTGTATTCTACAAAGAAGATAATTCGTTACTTGTCTGTTCTTATGTTGCAACTACCCATCTAACATACCTTCCGTCCATAGTAACCTATCTTATGAGAGCGCCATATAAACGCAAAGTTGTCACCGCTTGCCCATGCCGTTACTGACTTTTGTCCCGCAGAAAATACTAGTGTTTGTATAATCTATTACAGTCGACTGTTATGGACGGTTGCTATGTAAGATGGGTAGTTGCAGCATTAGTCCCATATTTAGAAAGTTCAGCCGATGAGCCGCCGACTTCCTACACCTTGTCATTCTTTAAACGGGCAATGCTTATTCGACTTTCTTCATTTTCGCGTAATGGAATGTGTTTTCAATCAGCATCGATTGGGGCTTCGGACTCTTCAGCTCCTTGCCATTTTACAGACTAGTTAAGTGTTTCCTCTATAAAGTCTGTATATTCACCAGATTACATTCGTGTTTCCTACGTGGGTATGTTCCAGACTTAAAACATTTTGTCAGTCGCCGCATTTTCTCTCAAGATCATTCGAGTATTACCCCTACCAGGCAGCCTCTTTCTTTTTATGTCTGCAAATAAGTATTGCCTACCTACCACCTTAGCTCTAACTATCTATCTACCGTTCATCGTTTATGATTGCGAGATAAACAGTCTGTTTTCTCTGGCCTACATTTCTATAATTTCTATGCTATTTCTTTTTATATTTAGTTGATGATGACTGCTGCCCAGAAATCAAAAGTGCCAATCGAGTATAAAAACGGCTGACTATTAACTGCGTTTGTAATGTTTCAACATCAACTAAGGGAGCTAAAGTTGAGCATCTGATATTACCTTCAAAGTTGTAAGCCCTTGAAGTATATTTTAGTACAAATGAAAGTTCTAAACAAGACCAGATCTCACATACAATTTTAATGTGACTGATGTATGAATGAGGATACTTTTAATAACTTTATCGGAGAAATAGTGAGACAATTACTAATTTGAGAACGAAAGGGTAATAGCTCGAAGTGTGTTTTGGTCTTTCCGTCAACCTTATTGAGGACGATACTTCGGATTTAGATGTTATTGTGATTGGTATCGATCATTCTTAAACACTCCCTATCTCTGAACGATAAGGACCAACACAAGTCATCTTCAGGACAATAGCAGGAACCAAATACGTAGTCATCATATTGGATATTCTCTTACTAAGAACTCCGACAAAAATAACTAAAGAATGTAATAACAATGTTTGCCAAAGGAGCTTAAAACATTCAATGCGCCAGTACAATGGTAGGTTCGAAAGGTATCCAACTGCGTCCTAAGGAGTGTTCTAGAAAAGACCACCAGAGACATAAAAAAAAATAAACAAAATAATAATGGGGCATACCAGGTTACCAACAAAACTAATTGTATTAAAACAAGAAGCAACAACAATAATGCTAGGGTTTAAATAAAAATAAACATCTCACCACTACCAACAATCTAAAGGGTAAATGACAACAAATTAACGATTAATGCGTGCTGACAGCAAAACAAAACAAAAGGAAAAACGAAGCGCGTGTGTGCACACAAGCTGAAGAGCGCGGTAACCACTGACTTCGGAGTAAATATAATGGTCGGGGCAAAAAGAGGAGAAATCTTTAATAAAATGTGTGAGGCTAAATGGTTAATGGCTATAAATGGCAAATTGATGTGATTTTTAATAGGTGAATATTTTTAAATATGTATGTATTTTTTCATTTAAAATTTTATACATTTTACGTACTACCGTTACACACATATATATATACATATATATTTTTATATGGTATATTTCTACATAGATAAATATTCTGCTCGTACTGATTGATGAATTGCTACGCTGAATATTTAATGTCAGCAAATTGAACTCTCAACAACTGTAGACAACAGCTGCACCAAACCAGCATGGACAACAACACGTAGTTTTGGCAAAGGGCAGCTGCGGATGTAGAGCATACAAACTAACATATATACGCGTACTCATTCATGTGTATTTAGAGGCTATAAATGACCGGCATTTTGCTGTAAAAAAGTATTTTAAGGTGTCAGTAAACGTGACAATGGAATGCAAAGCAGCTACGCGGCAACTAAAAATGCTGATGCAAGTATAATATTTACGAATGTACCCTGTAGGAATACGTAATGTGTTACAATTTTTTTTCGCAGTTCCCTGTTAACTGTAAGGACATCATTCACAATAGTTAAGGATTCATCTTTTATGATATTCCAGCCGGGATATTCAATGCATTTTGCTAACAGATAATACGTTTTATATATGATTAAAAAAGAAAACTAAAATTGAGGTGTTCAGCAGCTGAAAAAAAAATATTATAAACTTTTTTAAATGAAAAACCGAACAAACAAATTGTTTCTTCAAAAATTCCAAAATGTTTAATTAAAGATTTAAGATTTTATTGTGAATAGTACTCTGTATAAGAACAAAAGAAAATTACTTTATTCCCGTAATTCCTTGAAAGATATTTCCTTTGAAAAAAAAAATAAATAAAAATGAAAATCCATCTCTATGGATGAAAAATTTTACTTCCCTGTACAGAAAAAATAATCGAGGAAAGCATTATCTGCAAATTTTGAGAATTCTGTATCATGATCTCTCCATTTATTGTTGTTTATCTGTTCAGCAGTTATGGCAATGGCATTTAAGGAAATCAGCTTGTTTAATTGAATTGTGTTCCTTTCATCTAAAAATATTAAGAGAAATGGGTTTCTTTGAACACTCTGCTGTACTCATTATATGTAGCTGCGCAATCTTACTTTCGCAAAACAATTCATCAAGCAAGTCTACTGGCCACGACGACTCGTAAATGCGAGAACAAAACCAAGAAACAACAAAGAAATTTAGGCAAAAAGCTGCTGGAAAGGACACAAGCAAATAATGGACGTATGAAAATGAGACCACTTAGCCAGTCCATATATGAGTGTGAAAAATGAAAAATAACTAAAAAAAAAAACAAAGCTTTCTATATATAGTTAAATGTGCATGTGTCTGTATGTATGTAGTATATTTGCGAAAAATCAGCAAAATTCAAAGTATATGTATATAAATGCATATGTTTGTATATATGAATGTTATATGTCTGTCTGTAAGTCGGTCAGCGCACTTTTAGTACTGTACAGCATGGGTTATGAGTAATGGAAATCTTCAATTTTTGCAAAAGAATCAAAAGGTGGTTGGAGCCGCTGAATACATACATGTATGTATATGTATGTATACGCAACTACTTGACTACATAAGTATGTATGGTTGATCGTAGATTTCTTTATTGGTCCAACTGCATACATATGTACATTTATTAAAAACATGTAATGTATATGTAATGAGAAACTGCTGAGCGAAAATGGTTTTACCGTGCCCACGCACCGATCTGCATAAATAAATTATGGCATTGCAAAAACAACAAATCACACACAAAAACAACAAGAATATACTTTTCTCTCTAGATGCCCCGGTGAGCTGAGCGCACACGCAACGGTGATAGCACACGCCATTCAAGGACACGTGAATTCTGTATGTACCACAACATCAGCAATAAGTGTAATAGCACAAATAATAATAATAAAAAAAAACATCGACATCAGCAAGAGCACTAAGCAATAAAAGAGCTTAACAAAGGCAGTACTGCGTTCTTTACTAGAAAGGATATCACAATTGAGAAATAGAAAGAAGTACATATGCGTACAGCTGCTGAGATGATGATAAAATTAAAATAAAACATACACATAGGACATAAATACATGTAAATACATCTGTACGGACACACGTATGCAAGCAAATTATGTGGCAGCGGTAGGGCCACACGCTTTTGCAACACACATATATTGATGGGATATGAATGTATGCCTGTAGGTGTGTTGATTCACACAGACTCGACAGCCACCGGCAATAAACTAACGAAAATGAATGTGAAATTTTTTATACGCATATTTAAAAACTGTTTACCGATGCGACAATGAAAAGCACTTTAATATTAACCGTACAGCTAGCAGATCGCCACATGTATATATGTTTGTATATACATGTGCTTTTACTCCCAATCACACTTATTCAAATGACCGAATCACCCACCCACCCAGTCCCGGCCAGACTATCGCTGTATGTTTATCATCTGTATTGATTTTTAACCCAACAACTGATTGCATCAGCGTACACAGATAATTACATCAGTGAAAAAAAGTGCCGCCGACTAACTAGATATTTCACAAAAAGCTACAGGAATTTCTAAAACTCCCAAAAGGTTTTTCCTTGCCATGCTAGTGGAGTGGCATCTAACTAGTTACAAGTGGCGCCAATTTCGATGTCTCCGCATACCGAAAATGCTGTGTGGTATTCACACGTGTAGAATATTTAAAGATCATGTCGCTAATAGGCACCGGAGGAGCTTGACTTTTCATAACCCATTGCTTTGCGCTACCTGGGAAAAAAATATACACTTTTTTATTTTCTGCAGCTGGGTTTATCTTCTTGACATTCACATGCCTTTCTTGGCATCTACGGCACTTTAAAAAAAAGGTATATATATGCATATCTACACTCCTCCGCACTTCACTTGCTCTATGAATCTATAATTTTCCAGACACGATTTACACACTGAGAATCCGTTAACACTTTGCAAAACTTTTTTTTCCATATCAAAAATTGTAGTTTATCTTGTACACGCAAATTTATGTTCTATTCAGCACTTCCGCTTCTCATTGAATGTTAGTTTTATTGACTTTATAAATTTTTACAATTATTTTCCTTTGTACTCACTTGAATGGCAAATATTTTGAAATCAATTTTTCCGACAACTGCAACGATAAATGGAAAATTCTGCCAGAGAGAGCGAAACTGGACTGACTGGACTGACTGTGTCGATTATCGAGCGAGCGCATGTGTTTTGTCTGTTCTGTACTGTAGCGATTGAGCAGAAGCGCGCACACAAGTGCAGACACATTGTGTGTATGTTTGTAGGTACATATATACGTGTATTTGACAACTGCCGCTTTCCGTTTAGGCTCTTCCGTTTACAGTTTTTGTTCAAAAAACTTAATACAAAGGTTATTAATACTAGTAAAATTAGTTAATGAAGCAAAAATAGCCATTTTCAATTAACTATCTTCATACCGTTACATTTGTTCTGTTTTGTAAAAACTAATTTACTACATTATAGCTGAACGGATTTTTTTCCATTTAGTAAAAAAAGAAACATTATTTAAAAAAAACTAATACTGTTTTTAAAATATTAATCTAATTAATTTTTCTCAAAGAAAAAAGAGAATGAACGAAGCTTTGTCGAACATTGTAATTATTGTGAACAAAACAATGGATTTGGAAGTTTTCTTACTGTGAATAAGCAGTAAACATTTAGTCCGGAAAAACAGCTGATTTTGTAAACAAAGCAAAAACAAGTGCAAATATAACAGCCAGTCATTGCAGAAAAATCTAAGTTATTTGGAAAAACAAAAAATGGTAGATATTTGATACATTTACATTGAAAATTTGAAATAATCATAATCTTTTATTCATATTTTGCCTCAGTTTCATTTTAACGGTTTTAACATGGAATTCCTGGACAACGGTCGCAGTTTTCAAGAAACATACAAATGTTTCCCAGTGGCTATGTTACCCGGCAATGAACGTGAAGATTTGGAACGGGGAGGCAAAAGTAAGCAGATTCCTCAATCTTCAATATAAATAATAATAAATTAAATAAAATCTCCTATCTGCTCATCTCCTAGTTATAATGCCACCGTCGGCACTGGATGTACTCACCCGTAACAATGTTGATTATCCAATGCTCTTCAAGTTGACCAATCGCGCACAAAAGCGTACAACACATGCTGGCGTTCTTGAATTTGTTGCTGAAGAAGGCAAATGCTATTTGCCGTTGTGGATGATGCAAAATCTTTTACTCACCGAAGGTTGTCCCGTTCGTATTGAGAGCGTTAGCTTGCCAGTAGCAACTTTTTCTAAATTTCAACCACAATGCACTGATTTCTTAGATATTACAAATCCAAAAGCAGTTTTGGAGAATGCCCTGCGTAATTTTGCTTGTCTCACTACGGGTGATGTTATTGCTATCAAATATAATAAAAAGGTTTATGAATTGCTAGTGCTAGAAACACGCCCTGGCGAAGCAGTCAGCATTATTGAATGCGATATGAATGTAAGTAGCTATTAAGTTTATTAAAGAGTAGTGACTAATAAGATAATTATTTTAGGTTGAGTTCGAAGCAGCTATTGGTTATGAGCCAAACAAACCGAAAGTGGAAGAACCACCAGTGGAAGAAGTACAGGATCATGTTATGGAAGAGGTAGTTGAAACATTCAAAGGCTCCGGTGTGCGTTTAGATGGTAAAAAAAAGAAAGATAATCAGCTAGATGCGCCAGTAATTAAGAGGGTAGGTGTCTAAAATTCCTTCAACAAATTATATTTTTGTTACACCTTTGGATTTTGCAGATGCTCGCTCGTGGCGTACCCGACTATGACTACAAGTTTGGTTACTTAAAATTTGATCGTTCAATTAAACCTATTAGCGAAAGAGTGCCCAAAAAGGACGAAGATGATAGTGAGCCCGAAACTTTCCATGGTCAGGGTTTTTCAATGAAAACACGTAAATTGTAAAACTTATTCAAATAATTAATGTAACCTAGTTTTTAGAAATCCATTTTCAAAATCATACAAATAAATTTGTTCAATAAACTTTAATAACAACACAATTCGGAATTTGGCAAAAACTTCAATCTTTTATAAATTTAATGTTAATTGAATAATTTCTTCCTTTTTCTTGGGTGGTGGCGTTGCTAATGACATAGGTGGTAATTTACGGATTTTGCGTCCATGTTTGCCTTCCTTTCGTTTCCATAATCCTGAACGGGGACGATTACCCAATAGACGCATACGTTGTGCGCTGCCGATATGTTCCTTATTATGTTCAATATTCGATAAACGACCTACGTTACATAAAATAATTTCATTAATATAGAAAAAAGCATATAGTACTTTTGATATAAACTTACCAACTGTTGCCATACATATACGATCAAATGCAAATTCACGCTTTGATGGTAATTGAACTACGACTTTATCATCGAACTTTCTCAATATGGTTCCATATGTACCAGCGGAGTGTATTAAGTGAAAAGGATACCCCGGGTTTTTCTCAAGATTATGTATGCGTGTGCCAACTGGTAAAGCGCCAAGTGGATAGGCATCACCTTCATTTGGACGCACTGTGAATTAAGAATTCTAAGGAATAAAGCTCTAAGCTATTTCTAAAGTAATTATTCTTACCTGGTATACGTGGTATAACTCGTGATGTTTTGATTATATCCCCTACCTTCATATTTTCTGTTGCCAATATATATTTAAGTTCATCTCCAACACCAACAAGTGCTATTTTCGCCGTGCGACAACCGTCGTCGAGTATTTGTAAAACGCGCTCCTCTTGTGGCGGACCTTCACTTGGACCATCCCGCACCCATTTCACCCAATGAAATTTTTGTTTTATACCACCACCAATACCTTTGGCCACTAGGCGACCAGTAACGGGATCTCGACCAGCTAAGTGTGTTATTTTAAGTGGCGCTACAGTGTACTCTTCTGGATAATGCACAGTTCGTCTAAATTGTTGGCCGGCACCAGGTGCGGGTTTATCAACCACTTTGCACTTGCCACGTAACTGAATAGCAGCCGTTAAAGCGGCAGCATTATATTTTAAATGGCAGCGGGTAGTATTTAAAGTACAATTTGCTAATAAACGAGTTATGTTGTTCATGTTTTATGTAATATAAATACGATTAAATGAGCTAATATTATTTATGCTTCAATTGGAAGAAATCTGCTCCAATGAATGGCGATCATATGTTTCTCCACAGGGTTGTATTAGAAATAGATGCAATACAAAATATTTACTTATATTGAAGAAATATTTATACCAGAATATATTCCATGAGAAAAACATTTACTCCTGTATAAAATAAAAACAATGGCATGGTATGACAATAAGGACTTTTGAAATTTTTGAAGTTTTATTATTTTTTTTTTAATTTTATATATTATAGAAATGTATTTATGTAAATCTACGCAAAGAGAATTAATCATGAAAACATTTGGTCAATTTTTAAATGCAGCCATTATTTTACCCAAAATGTCTTGTACTTCAGCGTTTTGCAGTAAAGCACGTTTTTTTCCGCTCAATACCAAACTTAAAATGTCAGGACATTTATCCTTATCGCGAGAATAAATATCTCGGCCGTCCGTTTCATCTCCACCACCCCCACTTCCTTCCTCTACGCTAGGCGATAAACATAAAATGCCAGAGCTTCCACTTGGACCTGCATTACCAACCGCCAAAGTTACTGTGTTACCGGCTACTGAGCCGTGTTGCTGCTGCTGTTTGTGACGTTTGTTTTTGCGTGCTCTTCCGCCATCATCGGATCGGATTTGTGGCTGCGTTTGTGATTGTATTTTGGTGGTGTTTTTGTCCGTACGCTTTTGATATGGTCTTCGTGTTTTGGCTGGTTCTTTCTGTTGTTGTTTCTCTTTCCTTTTCAATGTTGATGTCGGCGTGGTGACGTCGCTATCGTTAGCTGTCGAATTCACGTTCACATTTGCTGATTGTGGTGATTGTTGAGGTGCCTGTACTGGTACTGGTGCTACAATAGCCACTGTTTCTTGTTCTGTACTCAACGAAGGGTGAGTAATTATTTTTATTTTCTTATGCGGTAGTGTATTTTGAGGTTCCTGTTCTCGTTGGAGACGACGTTTCACGTGCCAATTTAAACGCTCCTTAATAAGGCGACGCGGTTGTGCTTCCGTTTCCGGCAACTGTGATCCTTCTGTTTTAATAATTTGTAAATTTTCCGGTAATTCAGCCATAATGCCCTCTTTTTGCTGCTGTAAATACACTTCCACTTTTCTGTATGACTGACAAATGGAAAAATAAATAATAGATAATGGCAATGCTGTGTACGATAGCCCAATTGGCAACAGCGCTGAGACTTGTTAATAAACAACTCCAATGTTTACTCTTGATGAATTGCTAAATGAGAGAAATCAGTGTTAACTCAAAATTATTTTAACTGTAACGGTGCTTGAGGTATTTGACTTATTTTTGTTTAACCATTTCTGATGTTGATCATATTCTGGATATACCTCTAATGTTAATATTCGTGCAGCAAGGCAAATAAAATCTATTTTTTTCTAACATTGTTTCTAGCAATAAGATACGATTGCCTTTGATTTCATTTATTAAGTATCTAATCATAGAAATTCGGTCATCAACAGAGACAATTGGAAAGTTCGTTGGGTAGCTCAATTGGATCGCCTCCACCACCTTTCCGCGCCTGACACTTTGCTCATATATTTACCAACTCGCGCTCGTTTTGTTACGTGCACTGGTATTTGTATTTATTTTTCTTCTTCACTTCCCCGCGCTAATGAATATTCCCTTTGAACAACATACAAGTGCGCCGTTCTGCAGATGTCATTTGCGTGTGTATTTCTCTGTGTGTATTCACCGCAGTGCTGCCAACTGTCAGATACACAACACACCCTGTGTTGCCTGTCTTCTCGCTAGTTAGAAGAAACGTGTTTTGTGCAGAATTTTCAGTTCTTCATTTCGATTTCGGTTCAGAATTTTGTTTGTAAACACGCATGTGGTAAAAAAGTATAACCAAATATAGTTAAAAATTTAGCTTTCGTGGTAAGTGTAGAAAAATTAATAAAATTGTGGTTGTTAAATTCAGAAAAAATTATTGGTGCTATCGCTTATGTGCGCGCTGTTGCTCCCCAACATTGAAGCGGCTTTTCATTTCCAATAGAGGATACATGTGTGTGTTTTTGCCTTTGCCTCTGTACCCTCATTGTGTGTTTTTTCAATATTGATAATTTTTTTCGTTTATTTTTCTCGTTCGCAGTTCTGCTCTGCACAACATAAAACGGCAGGGAAACCAACAATAGCAACAACAGCAGCGGTAGAAAAACAAAAACGACAAAAACAACTTAGAAAACAGCCATTAGCCAACAGAGCCTGAACCAGAATACGAACGACAGAGCAAAAAAATAAAAATAAAATAAAGTGGAGTAATTAGAAGAGGGGATGTGAGCTGCAAACGGAAGAGGATCGATCGGATGTATTTGAAAAAAGAAGTGTGCAAAGCGTGCGGAAAACATTTCGAATTTGGAAAATTCTCCCAAAACGAAAAAAGAAAAAACCTTGAGTTTTAATTGTTCAAAGCGACGAAAAAAGTGTTAATATTAGCAACAGTGGCCGAATGTGAATAGTGTGCAAAGCGTGCAAGTAAAAAATTTCGTATATGATTTTTATTACAAAAAAAGAAGAAATTAACTGATACATAGTTTGGAGAACGCATAATTTGTATTAAGGAAAATACAAAACTAAAAACAAAATAGAAAAGCAAATAACGTAACGCAATCTGCAGCTTTATTGGTGCAGCGCTAACACATTTTTTTATTTGTAAAAAAGTGTTGGAAGCAGAGCAGTAGTAGAAAAAAGGCGCCGCATACAAATGGAATTCAACCCCCACCAACAACAAACACGTACAGCTCAGCAAGTGGATGAAAGCTCTATATCCGGCCCGGCAACCAACATAAATACTATCAATAGTAATAACAGCAACAACAACAACAATAATATCGACATTAACAACACTCTTAGCACAAACAATACCCCGCCCACCTTCAATACATTTAGTACACAAGTAAGAACGGTCAGCGCCGACGCTGCCACTGTAGCCATCGCCAAGGATATGCTCCAGTTGCATCATGGCAATGGTACGGTACTAGTAAATAATAATAACAACAGAAACAACAGCAATAGTAGTAATAACAATAGCAGCGCTGCCCAAGAGGCCATGAATACAACAACAGCAACTAACGCCAACACCAACTCGGTTGCGGTTGCAGCTGGCAACAGCAATAGTAACAATACTACCAATTCTGGGGTCGGTGCAAATATTGGCCCTAATCTGAATACCAATCACCCACCTGCCCATGCCTCGACTGCTGCCAGCACTGGCGGTAGTACACCTGGCGTCCTAACGGCACCGGATAACGCAGTCGGCTTTCTAAAGTACGATCAGGAATTGTTATACATTACCGAGCCAATAACTATTATTGGACGAAATTCGTCCACGTCGAATGTTCACTTTCATGTGGCCGAAAATAATTTGGTATCACGAAAGCATTTTCAAGTTCTTTACGACGGTGATGCGCATGACTTTTTTGTGCAGTGTCTAAGTAAAAATGGCATATTCGTCGATGATTTCCTGCAGAGAAGAAATGCCGATCCCCTTCGATTGCCTAGCAGGTAAGAGACGATTTTTCTTTTTTGCGTTTTTTTTTAAGAAGCCAATTCATTAAATAAGGCTAATAATAAAAAGGCATTTTTGAAATATACATATGTCTGTATCTATTGAAATAATTTCACATTTCTCTAACAATAACAAGTAATATGTGTAAGTTTCAATTATGAGCAAATTTTTTGTAATCATTATTTTATTGTAGAGAATGCATAAAAAAAAAACATTGTTTATTTATTTCTTTTAGCTGCTACTTTCGCTTCCCCAGCACCGAGATTCGCATCCAGTTCGAGAGTTTTGTTCATGGTTTAAATGCGCTTAATAACTCGAACAGTGGTGGCATATCGTATCATAACAACAGTCATCAAAACTCTGCTTCGTTACAGAGTAGCGGGGGAATAGGTGGCGGTAGCGGAGGAGGAGGAGGTGCAGGTAATTGTGCACAATTTATTATTTCTCCTGCGCCACCCGATGATCACCAACATCCACATGTAGCGACTGGACCGTCAGCGCATGCGTCAACACATGGCTCTCAGCACCATCACCAGCAGCATGTGTCTTCGAATGCTGTGTCCTCGTCGACACATCTGCTGCCGCAAATGGATAATCCAAATGTGTATGCACCACTAAAGATTTCCATACCGAAGAAGGAGCAGAAGAGCCCATATCTGTCACCAACTGGCAAGTGGAATTTGTACTGTCTTATAGGCAAACATACTCACATATACACACTCTAGCTTGCACTCATTTACACTGAGAGAAATATATAGAAGAAAATTTATGAATTTTTCTGTACTTGCCCCATGCGTTCGTTTTGAATAACATTTGGCATTATTACGTTTTAAGAAAAAATTACAATACCTTTGTTATTTTCATATTTAGTTTTTGCTTTTGTTTTGCTTCAATGTACCAGCTTACAAACGTACGATTACATTACACTTGACGCAGTGTAAACAAATGAAAATACAAAAACAAGGGAATGTGAAACAAAGCGGCGCTTTATGTATGCACACTGCAAAAACGAAGCGGAACAAAACAAAAAGCAAAAGTATTATCTACCAAAATACACTCGAATACAAACTTAAGTAAAGATTTGCACACACGCTATGTGTTTGTATGTCATCATTAGTAGTTCTTATTTTTTCTTTACCAATTGCGTACATATGTCATAAATGCGTAATTATCAGGGGTGCATAATTTTTAAATTGCGAAGCGTTGCACGTGGCTCTAAATTAATTTTAGAAATTTCGCAACTTAGACGTGTGAATGAGGCGAAGATTTTGTTAAGTATTATTACGTGGAAATGGGTACATACATAGGCACGGCAAGATATTCAGGTTTATTTGCATATGTTTTTTTTTTTTCTTTTGTTTGGGATTTAACATACACACGTATGTACTTACGAGCGCATTATTCTAAATATTTAACGTCTTACTATTATATTATTATTATTTTTTTTTTTAATATGTGTATAAATAAACTCGTTCAAACATAAACAAATTGCAGAGCATACACATTTTTTTATTTCTTATTGCATTGGTTTAGTGTTACATTTTTTTTTTTAGTTACATATTTTGCAACCTAAGCAATATAACATTAGAACACATATTTTGTTTTTTGTTTACTTTTCTTTTTAAAACGTTCTTCTTACCACACAGGTACAATAAGCGCTGCAAACAGTTGTCCAGCTAGCCCGCGTCAAGGTTTTCATCAAAACCAAACTAATTACAACAACTACAGCAACAACAATATACAAAACGTAAATAATTGAATGCAAAATAAAAGAGTGTACATAACCAGCATAATATGTTTCGTTCTTTACAGCAAGATCTATTCCAAACACCATCAACAGCTAGCTATAATCACAATGAAAAACCACCATATAGCTATGCACAGCTGATTGTACAAGCAATATCCGCAGCGCCGGATAAGCAATTGACACTCTCTGGCATTTATTCATTTATTGTCAAGCATTATCCATATTATCGTAAAGAAACTAATAAGGGTTGGCAAAACTCCATACGCCATAATCTCAGTTTGAATAGGTGAATACATTTAAGCAAATTATATAATTAAAAACCAAAATTTATTTTTCTAAAATATTATATATTATAAATTCTTTAAATTTCCTATTTATTAGGTATTTCATAAAAGTTGCACGCTCGCAGGATGAACCTGGTAAGGGTAGTTTTTGGCGTATTGATCCCGATAGCGGCGCCAAATTGATCGATCACAGCTATAAGAAGCGACGTCAGCGAAGCAGCCAAGGTTTTCGCCCAACATATGGCATGCCACGTTCGGCACCTGTCTCGCCGAGTCATATGGGTACGTACGGACAGTATTTTATTTATGTTAATTGTCTATTTAAATAATATATAACTCATTGAAATTACAGATAATTCGCGTGAAAGTTCACCGCTACAGGATTTCGTTTTGCAATCGGCTCCTGGCTCGCCGGGCATGTCATTAGAGCAGCGCGCAACTGATGGTGGTAATAAGTCTACTAGCAAGCGATAGCGCGTTTATTTTTCTTTTAGTATAATAACATTAAAATAATGTGCGTTGAATTGCAGATCTTATGTACAACAACACAACTCAGAATATGCACCAATCGACGGCTAACAATTCCCACAATCAATACAAGTAATTTTGTTTTATTTCATTCCTCGAAATTTCGTCGCCATTCGTTTTAAATAATTATAACTTGGCTCTAACGTGTACTATGTACATATGTATTTAATATGTAAATATCCATATGTACTCGCTTCTCTTAAAAATTTATTTCAATTTCGGCCTATTGACCGTTTTTCTTGTCCTTAATTGACGTTAAAAATATTTAAGTGTTTCTGATAAACAAAAATTGTAGTTTCTTAACTCAACACTTTTCATTCCATTAGAGTTAGCACCAAGTTTGCACATTTTCCTTTCTATCATATTCAATCGAGTGCCGTTCTTCATTGATAATTATACATTTTCAGCAGCAGCGGAAGCCCATACTATGCTTCAAATCAAAATTCAACTATAGCCGGTGTACAGCAACAACACAATGAGAGCGGAGCTGGAGTAGTCGTTGGTAATAGCAGCGGAAATGGTGTTGGCGCTTTGATTGCGCTCAAACGCAATCATGCAATGGCAGCGGGTGCACAACAGCAGCAGACACTGCATCAACAACAACAACAACAACAACAGCAGCAGCAGCAAGTGCAAACATTGCATCCCGACATAATTTATGAGGAAATGCCAACTGACTACAGTGGCAATATGGAATCAGGCGATGAAGGTGGCAGTATTGGTGGCGGTGGCGGCAGCGGTGGCTCTTGCGATGCTGCCAAACGCCCCAAATATATTTCCGAAGTACTCTGATGTGTTGCTGTTGCCGTTTCCGTTTCTTCTAATGTTTGCAAATAATTCAAAAGATATCTTCAAAGAACAAAATGCAGAATATCATAATATTAATCTAGTGATATAGATTTGCCGCAATTAAATTTAAAAAACAAAAACAACAACAACACAGATACACGTAAACATACATAGAATACAACCAGTTAAACAAGAAGAAACTTATCGCTCACGAATTATAAACTTATATTATAAATTGTAAAATGTGAAACCCAATTCAGATCTCGATTGTATTTTTAACAGACAAATCAGCATATAATTTTTATTTAATTTTTTTTTTTTTTAATTTTATCCATCCTTCAGTGTACGAAGGCCGTAGTCAAAGGCAAATTGTCTATGAAACCTTGTATCAAGCTTTTAATAGTAAATAACTGCCCATCAGCAGTATGCGTTGCTTTTGATAACTTTTAAGAATTTTGAGTACTCTTTCTACTAAATTGACTTCAGCAAGTATTAGTTAAGTTCTACTTAAAATATATTTATCAACAATATAGTTCTGAATTGGGATGAACGTGCATCTTACATTTAAGCACAACAGCAGTGGAATGTGCTGTGAAGGATACGTTATAATATTATACAAAGCGCATACATACATACATACATACGCATAAAACAAAATTGAGAAATATACAAACACTCACAATTAACTTAAAAAAGATCTATTTGCGGATAATGGAATAGGAGTCTAAAAGGAGTTTTAAATAAAAACCCAAAAAACATTTGAGGAACACTGGAAACCAACATACCAACCAATTAACAAAGAAAGATCTTTGTTATTATTATGATTAACAAACCATCGGTATATTGAATTTGACACGCAACGTATGTGAACAAAAATAATTGTTTTATTGTTTTTATTCCTTCTAAAATATGAATATACAAATTTCCCTCTATTTGCTTTAATATTTGTTGTTGTAATGATTTATTCGTTTAACGATTATCAAAATTAAAATTGTATATCCCTAGCAAACTATATAGACGTACTTGTATACTCTGGACGAATTCAATATGCTTGATGATGCTACATTATACTAATATAGAATGAATGAGAGTTAAATAAAAATTGAAAAAAAATATATATATAAAAATAAACAATTATAAAAATGCAAAATGCAAACAAAAAAAATGTACTCTAAAAAATTTAAATTTAAAAAATTATAAACAAATACAAGCATATGAAAGTAGAACATTTTAAACGATGGGCGTAAAGATTACTTAAAACGATGTAAAAGTAATACAATTAGCGCTAGAAAAATAAAACAGCATGCGAGTCAGGAAACACAAAAACGGTGAAAACAAAACGAAAGCAAAGCTAGCAGGTAAAATGAATTGTAGTTGTGTGGCAATGGAAGGGGTTAAGCAGAAGGATTGCAACTAATACAAAAAGTTTAAATTAAAACAAGTAAATATAATTTCAAAGCAAACAAACAAACAAAACAAAACAACAACAACCCAACAAACAAATTTATGATAAAGATAAAATGTATAATGATGATTGCACTTTATTTCTATTATAATAAATAAAACTCCATTTAAATGTTTGGACAAAAAATGTGTATTTAGAAAAAAATACAAAGAAATAGATAATCTATGTGTATTCTTCATTCTTCAAAATATCAATGTAAATATGCTGTTTTGACTAAAATGTTGAACTCAGAATATCTAAAATGTATATATGTTATATCCTTAAGATGTGGGTGGTTCCATTTTTATGCACTAGGCGTCCCTACACACGGGGATTATCTGAGAGAAAAGGGTGGATACGCGTGGTGTCGCCAGTTTACATTTTTAATGGCGTTATAAAACCAAATCTCTAACCTTTTGGCCTAGACAGCGCCTAAGCGTTTATAACCAGCCCCTCCTTCCTTTCGATGCTTTGCGCCGATTAGAAATACCACATCAGTCAGCTGGAGCATTCTCATTCAATCGGACCACCTAACCTAACCAACGTAGCCGCTCTTGTCTCTTGATTCGCTTAACTGACCATTCCACCGACTGCGTTATACGCCATTCGCAAACAATCATAGATCTTACGCAATACCGTTCTCTTGAAAACTCCTAACGCCGACTCGTCAGATGTAGTCATTGTCCACAACTTGCGGCACTTCCCTACTCTACACAAAGTAGCACAAGTGTAGGAAAATGCCTTCAAACCTATTTACCTTGTGGGATTATTGTTGTAGTAATTCGATACACCCCGCTTAGAATCAAATAAACCTAGTTATGCAAATTGTTTCTAGGGTTTCTCAGATCAAAGGGAAAGGTGTGCCAGTTGCTTGCCTTAACGGTACACGCAAGAAAACTGAATCTGTCGGCATAAACCTAAAATGTGCAAACCTTACTCCTTCTTCTTCGCTCTCTATTTCTCAATCCCTTATTGCTGTGGGGTAATTGGTTAAAGATCATGGATTCGAGACCTGGCCATACCATAAAACTATAAGAAAGTAAATTATCTCCTCATAAAAATGTATTAACCGTTAGAAGGCTTCTTTTAACTGTGGCTCGAGCAGACCTTGGCAGCCTCCCAAGCCCTGATCTCTTAGCGTCGTTTTAATAAATACTAATCAAATATATTTACTTTTTTATTTGTTAAATATAAAACAATTAATCAAATTAATAAGAATTTCATTAATATTTCTATCCCCAACTCAGCAAGAACACCGTTTGCGGCGTGTATCGAGTAGTTGTTCCATCCATTGACTTGGATTCGACTTATCGGCGACCTCAGAACGATGTAGCCGCTTCCCTTGCGCCAACAACTCACAGTAACTAATCACAGCTGAATCATAACCGCATGTGCTGACATAGGTCACATTTCCATCGCGATCAGATACATAAACGACATATTTCAAACGCTTTAAATCGCCATGAATAAAAATATCGTGTCGTGACCCAAAACCAGCCTGTAAGAAAGACATACTGAAAAAAGACGCATTAAAAAAGGGCACCGTTCGTAATTCTTGAATATGACCCGCCATATTTATGCCAGCTATACGGCCATGGTATTGTGCCACTTGATAATGTTTAACGCATTTGCGTTGATTAGAATATGATAAGACTGGTGCATTGGCAATATCCCCGCCTGCGTAAATATTGGGTACAGGTGTCCTCAAATTCATATCCGTATCAATGGTGCCGTCGATGTTTACGGGCACATCCGAATCAATCACCCAATCGGTATTGGGCACTACACCAACAGCAATTAATAAAACATCACAGGGATACTTATAGCCATCGGTTGTTCGAACTTCTGTCACTCTAACACCGTCATCGCTTAAAATATCTTTCATTCTACTTTCCATTTTCATTTGTACACCCCTCTCGCGGTATAAATTCAACAGGCGTTTACCGATTTCCTCGCCATACAAGACTTCCAAAGGATATTTTAGATGACTGATTACAAGAACCTGTCGAAAATTTTAAATGGATTTATTAAATTTGATGTAAATACCAGGGTTTGGAAAATGCATCAAGACTGCAGTATTTTAATTGATATTTTTTTATTTAAAACTTTAGGAAATCTTATTCCCTTCTGTTGGTTTTTAAATGAACAAAATAGCAAAAACGTTAAGGTTATATACATACATACATATATCAGGCAAATTGATTAAAAAGATGGCGGACGGAAATAATGCATTGATCTTTATCAAAATGAAAATGTTAGGTTATGTTGAAAACAAAATAAATTTTTTTTTTAATTTGAAAGGTACTCTTTTTTTAACTTTCATGAACATGTAAGTGCCAGTAGAAGAAGGCTACATATACAACTTACCGATCTGACCTTCGATATTATTGTGGAGGACAACTCTAGGCTAATGAAACCACCACCAGTGCAAATTAGATTTGTTCTTGGCCTCAATACACTCATAATTGCTTGTAAGTCTACGAAGTTCTGTAATGAGAATACGTTTCTATATCCAATGCCCTCGGTCGCTAGTTTAGCAGGCCGTGAACCAGTCGCTATGAAAAGTTTATCATATTTAATTTGCTGTTCATTTGAACAACTAACGGTATTCGTGTAAGTATCCAATTTAATTGCTTCGACACCAAGTATTATCTCAATATTATGCTGTTCATAAAATTCCTCACTACGTAATTCCATATCCCTATGATTCACTTGCCACACTTTCGATAAAGGTGTACGATCGTATGGCAAACTGTCTTCACCACATAGTATAATTATACGTCCCACATATCCTTCTTGGCGTAAAGTTTCCGCACATGTAGCCGACGCAACTCCACCACCGATTAATAAAAATATACGCTCATCTAATTTATTATGAGACGACATTTTCTTTATACGACGGGTTTTATTAAGATCCTTGTGTCTGGCTCGTACTTTGACCTCTCCATCTTTACTAATCTCCACTGGATACGAGGGTAACGAATCTAAGCCTGGAAAGTCTTCAATATCGCCAGTTTTGATATCATAACATGAGCCATGTCTTGAACAGCGTATACGACCACGCCCTAAAACACCTTTAACTAGTGGTGCTCCTTGATGTGGACACGTTGCTCCAACGGCCCAAATTCGATCGTTCTGCCGTATTAACAAAAACTTATTATTCCTATCAAAATCAAACTCCTTTACTTCGTCGTTATTAATATCCGATTCTTTACAAATCGCAACAAAATCAGTGAATTCGGACATTATTTTTGGAAAAAAATTACGTTGAACGATTTTTTTAAATTTGTTGTTTTGAAATATAGGCTTTTTATTATTAGTAAAAGTCATTCAAAAAAATTTTAAATACTTTTAACATTTCGTAGGGTGTTGTTAATCGTATTACAGTTGAGGGTTGTCGTTGCAGTAAATTAACGGAAGGTTTAGGACCAAGGATTTAACGGTTCCCGTTTACATTGCATGATTGTTCTTAGCTGCCAATAGAATTCTATGCGATTCCAGTTTTGTGCATCCGCTATTATTCTGAATAGCATATTTATGCAACCCTGCAAATTGACACCATATTTCCATATTTCGCCACAGAGAGCGCTGTTCGATTTGTTCATTCAACCGTTTGGTCCCCAATCGACTTTGTAGCTTATCGCATTTTATTCTGCATCGTCAGGAAGATATTTTACATAAAGATTTATAAAATTTATAAAAATGGTGGTAAAAGCTGTATGCGTAATTAACGGAGACGTTAAGGGAACCGTTCACTTTGAACAGCAGGTAGGAAATAAATTTTCATGTTTTCTTGGTATTTTCGAGGTCCAAGGTCATGGCACCGGTTGACATAGTAGAGCATTACATGTACTATCACAATTATGGGAGTAAGAGACGTTATTTTATTTACGGTGTAAATAACGCAAATACCCATCATAATATATCCAAATATTGTAATTTCAATCATCGTAAATAATTTGCCTCCAAATAGTTTGGATAATTATCTTCTCAATTTAACAGCGTTAATTTGTGTGTGGGGTGTAGGTTGAGGTAGATGAGATGTACTTCGTCATTGCGGTTAAGTGGTATGATTTATTCAATGATAGCGAAAAATTAAGTATTTCGTTATCATTTGTATAAAAAATATAATGGAAAATTGTAGAAGTTTATTGTATTTAAAAAAAAATTTTTTCGAGGTTTTATAATTTAAACTTATTTCTTTATGCGGTTATTTGTATATTGTTAATGTGTTGCTTTTTGAGACGGTATCACTGATAATGAACCTATTTATTTTCAATTGAAATTAGTATTCGGTATGAGAGAGAGTTTCGTAGGCATATATGTATGTATGTACTTTATTAGCATGAATTAGCACTTTTTTAATTTTATTTCATTTTGTAACTTGAGTTATTTGTATTGCTTATTTATATTTTCTCATTTAAGGATGCAAAGTCTCCCGTCCTAGTCACTGGTGAGGTTAACGGACTTGCTAAGGGTCTGCATGGCTTCCATGTACACGAATTCGGGGACAACACCAACGGTTGCACTTCGGCTGGCCCTCATTTCAACCCTTATGGAAATTCGCATGGTGCACCATCCGATTTGAACCGTCATTTGGGCGATTTAGGCAATATTGAAGCCAGTGGCGATGGAGCAACGAAGGTTGTTACCCATAAACTGTGTTAAAAAACTGTTTTTAAATAATAATTTTTGTTCTTGTTTCTTTTGTTATTCAAACTAGGTCGAAATCAGCGACAAGCTGATTACCTTGTTTGGTGAAAATAGCATCGTTGGACGTACTATTGTTGTACATGCTGATCCTGATGATTTGGGTAAAGGTGGTCATGAATTAAGCAAGACAACTGGCAACGCTGGGGCTCGCCTTGGTTGTGGCGTCATTGGAATTTGCAAGATTTAAATTGTTTGTTGCTGAGAAGACAATGAGAAGGGTAAAACCAGAAAGTACTATATATCCATACCCATTCTTATGTAAATATGTAGACTACCAGCAATAAAGATTAGAATAGTGTAAGTTAATCAAAAATACCTATACAGAGAGGGTACAATTGGAATGTTTTCAATATAAAAATTAACACAAATAAAATATGGTTTATTGGATAACATAAATTCTATGTTTAATTCAGTTTAAATATATCATTCTCTTCGTTGTAAATTAAAAAGCCTTTTATAGGGAGTCTTAAAAACAGTATCGAAGGATGTGAGGAAACGTATAATTTAATGAATGCTAAATTCGTAGGCTACCCACTAGCCTTCTCCAAAACCAGGAAAGCTGGATATATAATTGATAGAGCGCAAAAATGCTCAAATGCTGTATTCTTTGTGGCAGCGAGCAATAGATCAGCGCCTAAAATTATGCAATGATTATGGCCTGACCTATTATTCAAGTCCCATTTATCTACTATTTTTAAATGAATTGTCTTCAAAAATTAATAATCAATGAAACATGAGGATAACATTTATAGCGTTTCCGCTTCATATTTTTATTTTTCATATGCTTGTATTTTATTAATTTATGTATATGCAATCGTAAAATCAATGTCAATATCAATCAATGTGTTTTACTTTTGCAGTGCATGTGCATAATTTAGAATTATAATGAATACAAAATACAGTTTTGGGCTAAAATTTAACTATTCGCCGCTTCAATTTCCTTGTAAACTTCGCGTTTGTATTCATCCAAGCCACCTTCCATACCGCGTACAGTACGATTGCCACACACCCAAAGTTCTTTGCAAACTACTTTAATGAGACGTTCGTCGTGAGATACTAAAATTACGCCGCCCTGTAATAATGTTGGCAATAAAAAATATTTATGAGCATTACAAATTTTAAGCAATAGATAAGTTTTTATTTCTACCATTACCTTAAATGCATTAATCGCTCTTCCTAAGGCATCAATGGTCTCAATATCCAAATGATTTGTGGGTTCATCAAGCACCAAGAAGTTAGGATCAGCTAAAAAAAAAAAAATTGAAAATTAATATGTTCCCCTAGACCTTTCCTGTGAGATAACAATATATACCCATGCACATTTTTGCTAAAGCTACTCGTGATTTTTGTCCTCCTGACAAACTTGCTATGCTTTGTAACGCCAATGGTCCTGATATGCCAAAACTGCCCAATTGTCGACGATACTCTTCATCCGGTCGACCTGGGAAAAGCTCGGCCAGTACTCCTACACATGTAGTATTCATATTTAGGTGATCAACATGATGTTGTGCGAAATAGCCTATACGCAAGCCACGATGCAAAATGATATTGCCATGAATGGTGGTCAACTGGCCTACGATGAGTTTGAGCAGTGTTGTTTTACCAGCGCCGTTTTCACCAACCTAAGGCAAATATTTATGAGAGGTTATTCGTAACATAACAATTCTTGAATCAAATTTAAACTTACAATACATATTCTAGAATCGGAGGTAGCTGATAGATTTACATTTTTAAAAATTGGTAGTGGAGCAGCATCATTATATTTAAATTCGATTTCGGATAAAGCTAAAACCGGTGGATTTAAAGGTTCAACATCGGGGAATTTCAATTTAACTTCGACTTCTTTCTCAATAGGTTTCAATTCGGGACTATAAAGGATGGTAAAAAAAATTATATTGAATTGATAAGATTTACTGAACATTTTTATTGAAATGAAATTCAAATACTTTTCAAACTTACAGTTTTTCCAACATCTTAATTTTCGATTGCACAGAAGAAGCACGATTTGCATTGTAACGGAATCGATCGATAAACTCTTGTACGTGTGCCCGGTGTGCCATTTGCGCCTCGTATTCACGTCGTTGGGCCTTTAATTTTTCATTTTTTGTCTTTTCAAACTGCTCATAATTTCCTCTGTAAGAAAGTTTGAAAATTAGATAAAGTACAACTGCAAGCTTTGTTTACTTACTTGTATGCCTCAAGCGCCTGGGAATGTAAATGAATGATGTCCGTTGGTACGGTTTCCAAAAAGTTACGATCGTGAGAAACCACCAGTAATGTTGTTGGCCAAGACTGTAGATAATTTTCCAGCCATATGATGGCTTTAATGTCCAACATGTTTGTCGGTTCATCAAGCAGCAGCAAATCGGGTTTAGAAAAAAGTGCACGTGCCAAAGCCAAACGCATACGCCAACCACCAGAAAATGACTTCGTCGGCCTTTGTTGCATGTCCGCATCGAAGCCCAGACCACGTAATATAACGGAAGCTCGCGCTACCGCTTTATCAGCCTCAATATTTTGCAACTGTGCGTAGACTTCATTCAGTTCAGCACTTAACTTTGTATCCTGTACACCACTATTTAATGTGGCAATTATTTCCTTTTCTCGTGTCAACAACCGATTACGCTCTAGGTCACATTCCAACACACTGTCAACTGCTTTGGTATCATTACCTACAACTTCCTGTTCCACATGCAATACACTAATGTGTGATGGTATGGCCAATTGGCGATCGGAAATCATACGAAGAAGTGTTGTCTTGCCCAAACCATTTCGGCCAACAAGACCATAACGACGACCACACGACAGGAGTAAATTGGCGTTTTGTAATAAAACTCTACAAGGAAAGGATACTGTTGAATTTTAAGCGAATTTTTTCAATTGAATTCTTTGCGTACTTGTCACCAAATGCCAAATCGAAGTTTTCGATTTTTATGTCCATCGATCGATTGGTTCCTTTCTGCTCCATTTTGGTATTTTTCTTGCTTAGCACTTGTGAGGCTGTAGCAGTTTGTAGTTTGACGGGCGCTGCTACCGTTGATTTTCCAATGTCCTGTCGCTTTTCCTGCTTTTGCTGTAGCTTAGCTTCGGCCTTCTCCAGCTTTTTGCTGTTCACTTTCTGCAACAAATAGTTTATATTAACAAAAAAAAACCAACTTTTCCAATACTTACCGAGCCACCATCCTTTGATGTAAGCCAGATGCTGTGCATATTTTTATCAACATTTTCCATCTCTTTTGCCATTTCGGCGATATTAACGGGCGCATTTAATACTTTACGCACCTCATTTTTAGTATTCTTTTTGATGATATTTAAAAATTCTTCACAAAGTTCTCTACAAATCAAATAAATTTAAATTTTTATAAACAAATAATTGATGCGAAATTCGCACATCCCCCTCACCTTATATCGTCCTCGGTTTTTTCCAGGTTAATGCTTTGTAAAATATCGCCAACAGCATCATATATGTCATCGCATGTTTCAAAATCTTCCAAGCTACCGCTTAGTACTCCTGCAAACAGACATTAACACATGCCACGCACCTTGAGTGAATGTATATGCTTACCTTCGACGTAGTCCTTTAGCTCATTATCAATGGCTGGAAATTCGCGTTGCAATATAGCAGTGAATTGACTCATACTTATGTCTTTTCACACTTTTTTCAACTATTTGTACGATTTATGCTTTCACTATCACCAACTGACCAACTTCGGCCACGACGAATTGTATACACCACCGAATTGGCAAACAAACCGTTAGTTACTTTTCAACAAATTGTATGGTTGCACAATTTTAAAAGCACTGAAATGATAAAAATAATATTTATTTACATTACCAATGTGCTAAACGGAATTGGTGCGTTATTTTGAACAATTTAGCAACAATTCGTAAACTTCTCGCTACACGCAAAACGCAGGAAAGGAACGGACGACCTCAGCAGCTGTGGATATGACAATTGTAAAACGTCAAGCGCGAACAGTGGTGCCATATTTGTGTAATGTGGTTTTCTCTCTTAACACTTGCATAACCGAGTCTGGTATATGCGGCATGGAATTACAGTTGGAATAACAGTTTCTTAACGTCTGCCAAGATTGAAAAGACTTTTCGTTCAGCTTGCTTAACAAAGAATATTCGTTGTTTTTCTACTTCAAATCGCCTTTTAACGGTAAAAGAAGCAGAATTCGAAAGGTTCCCTTAAATATTTCCAAAAATTAACTACCTTTATTGCTGGAAGCATTCAATTTCTTTTTTTTTTTACCAATTAAACCAGTAACTTTAGTTCATATTTTTAATATTGTAGAACATGTTACAGCTCTCAACTAATTATGTGTCCTGACCAAACAAATTCTGAAAAGATTATAGGGTCATAAAAATCCATCCGCTAAACGTGGCACATAACTGTTGTTTTCTCTCAAGACAGGGGACCCAAACAAAATTGTTAAACTGCCGACGAGTATTAACAAGTTGAAATGAAAATCACAATTTAAGATTTCCGATGAAAAAATATATATTTTTTTTTGTTAAATTTGGAAAAATAATCCATTTTTGATTTTTTTTTTTACAATAGTTTAACAACAAATATTTTATGGAAGGAAAACAAGTTTATACAAGAAACCTCCATATATTTAGTCTAAAAAATAGACAAGCAGTTAGTAGTTTGCAAAAAAGGCATTAGTTATGGTATTATTTTTGTTATAAAAATTATTTAAGTGCAGCTAACAACTAATAAGCGCTAAAACAAGTCATAAACCTTAAGGAAAATGTATCTAAAAATACATCGCCTCATATAAATAACTGAAGTTCGAGAAATTCATTGAAGATGTAACTAAAACAAAATAATATAAAAATAAATTAGCGAAAAATATAAATATTTAAATTCTAAAACAACACAATATCGTTGGTTGTTAAGTTCATACAAATTGTCTATAACCGAATGGTCGATTAAATTTTTCCATTAATAAATAAACAACTTAAATTTTATATATATTTTTTTATAATTATAATAGCCTAGGCATGCGCTAAAAAATTAATAATATTTATAATAAAGAAATTCAAATAAGAAAATAACAAATAATTCCATAAGAACATGCACTGTTCTATATAATAAAGAATGGCTATGATAAAGTGTATACCATACGAATGTCTCGATTCCTCATGCATTTTTGTATAGTACGTATAGGTATGTTTGTATACCTAATATGTGTTAATTACAAATATATTTATATTAATTGCTATTTATATTATTATACATTTAACATATTATTATTAGATATTTCATATCGTATAATGTGGTGTGAGCGCGTGTGAATGCATGTGAGTGTGTTTGTGTTTGTTGTTAATTTACATTTTTACAAAAAGATCCTGCACTCGTTTCTTCAATTTGGAACCAATATCCCCACCTACTTGCCTTAGATATAACCTAATTCTATGTTGAAATATATAATTCATAGGCCTGCTGCCATTTTGAACCCATTTTATTTGTATCGACTATATGTTAAATTGACGACCCATTACTGTTGGCCGCTGCTTTTGTTTGGACAGTTTGTGCAATGGTGGGTTGAGGAGCTACTGTGAGGCTATTAGCCGAGGGTGCTGCTGATGTTGCTTGGGATTTACGCTGCCTTGCACCGCGTCCGGATAGTAAATATGATAAATCTATGGGTTGTTCATTCACAGTGGGCTGAGTATTTTTCCATTTGAGTTTCATTGTTTTGAGTACAGATTCCAAGTGGTTGCGTTTTTGTTTTATTGTCTGAGAGAGAGAATCGAAAAGAGAGTAGAAAATGTTTAAAAGTTTTCTCTTTTGAGTTGAAAAAAAAAAAAAACAACCTGCACGCTTGGTGGTATGGGAGAAATTAAATGCACCGTTGTTGGACTATTACTACTTTGACGTTTGCGGCCGCTATTCTGTGGACTTTTCTGTGGTGTTTGACGACTTGCTGCTGCGTTTGTGGACACTTCCGTCGGGCATGCAGGTGTAACGGGTGTCACTGTTCTGTTCGTCGAGGCTCTTGCATTATTTGTAGGCGTTTCATTTTCAGTCTTTTGTCGTTTTGATTTCAATAAAGCGGGATCAACATCATGCGGCTGTTAACATTAAATATAACAATAAATAAATCAATTGCAGATATATCCATTACTCACCGCATAGCTTTTGGAGATTTTCAATTTTTCGGGAAACTTTCTAAATGCATATGTTTTTGTACAAGTCGGATAATTGACCTTCGCTTTAGAGAAGAAACGCGCCGTTTTATCTACACGCAATTCACAAATGTAGCAATGCGTCTCATCTGTACACTCAACCGGGCGTCCCTTACAGAAAGTGGTGCGGTCTAGCACCCAGCAACGGCCGATAACCAGTTCGATTGGCACTATCTCATAAAGTGGCACGCGCACCACCTCATTGGGATAGAAACGACGTGATGGTTCGTGGAATGTCTCGTGTGGCCGCAAGAAGTGATGCCCAAATATGAAACGCTTACCCTCCTCATTCTTCCACAAGCGTTCCACACGAAATATGTCACACTCATTGTAGTCAATGGTGCCAATAGTTTCGTAGGTGTGCTTCTGTTTGGGCAGCACATTACCAGCGGCATCTTTTATTGGTATATCACGCAATACATACACAGCATCTCCTTGGCGCACATGCAAATCGCCACGCATCAATGTCAAATAATAACGATGGCCTTCCTCCGTGTAGTCATCTAACGGTATTTCACGATTCACAATACGGGGCTCACAACGCTCACAGAGGTAGTTGTCTGCATTTACATCCGCTTTGGTACATTCGGTGTGCTGCCACACCATGCAGCGCGCACACTGTATCATCAGTCCTTCATCCTTGTACAAACCACAAATGCAACGTATTATATCCTCATTAGATGTTGGCATAATAACGCTTGTGGTGAGGTCCGTTGCCACATGATTTGGCTTAACGGCAATAATTGACTCTATCATTTTATCCTTTTCCTCAGCTGCCTTTATTGATTGATCGCAGAAGCCCAACAGCATGACTTCATCACCACCCACAATCTCGAGTAAACGCGCATGCGCTTCTGCTTTTTTCTGCTCATAAAAGTTTCTGAGTGTTTGCAGCGCCACTTCATGACGACTGCCTGGGAGTATGTGCTGCTGCGCTGTTGCAAATACTTGCTGCATGTCCGTGTTGAATTCTGAGGGTAGTTTATAGTACCCTTGCTCGATATTGGTCTCAACAGTCTTCAGATCCAGCGTATGGATTTTTAGTGGCGCTTTCAAAGTCTTCTTTTTCTTGTTAGTACCGCCAGTACTAGTATTGGCGTTAGTATCGACGCTCTCACCTTCCACCACGCCGTCGGCGGCATTAGTAAGGCCCGTGTTGGACGTAAGAGCCAAAGCAACAAGTGTTTGTTTGTTATCCGTAGGGTCTTTAAGTGCTTCGAGCGCTTGACAAATTTCACGTAATATAACAGCGATTTTCGCCATCTTCTCCACCTCTGGGTCTTGCACGGCGTGTGTAAGGCCACGTGTTTTAATGCTGCGCGGTGAACGCAGTGCGGAGATTTGCGCAGCCAACGATGAAGGCGTTGATGGCCGACGATTGGTAATTGCGGCTGGAGCGTTGGGATTAGTAGGTGAACTAGTTGTATGTGGCGTCGGAGACATGCCAGAAACACCATTTAACTTCAATTCGCCTGTACAATTTGCGTTGCGACGGGCTTTGCAGCGACGTATCTGTAACATTAAATTGTGAGTAATGCTTTAGTATTTTCTCAAAAAAATAGTTACATAGCGTCATCGAGCCTTACCTTTTCAAAATTGCGTACCAAAAATATACCGTGCTGTTTGACCATCTTCTTTTCTCTTTCAGAGAGTTGCTGCACAAGCGCCACCACTACATCCTTCGAGTGCATCCGTTCGGTGTTTTTACGTGCCTTACGCTTACGTTGCCGGGCTATACGAGTATCATTTTCGGTCGGCTCTGTCTCCTGCTTTTAAACGCGAAATTATTAATCATGAGAAAACATCACACAACTTGTAGTCGACTTACCTTAGCTTCGATTGGCAATGGCTTAACTCGCTGCGATTTGCCCCCTATAACACCTCGACACTGTGGCGTATTACAACGACATGGCTGTCCCTCCGATGGATTAAAAAGCGAGAAATTGTAATCATATGATATCTCCTCGCCCGGCTCGATGTTGCGCTTGGCAAAGAGAGCCATACGCGACAAACCATTAACCGACCACTTCTGCATCTCACAATTCGGTTGGCACGAGTGATTCACAAAACGTCCGTCACTGCCCATACGATGACCATCGATCACGAGGCCACCATCCAGATGCAGACAATAATGATGCGTGTCGTTTAGGTAAATGGTGCCCATGCGATCTTTGAATTCTCGCTCGGTCACCACCTCCCCCACATATTCGAGTATGTAAGTGCCCTTTAGAATGAGTGATTTGGTGCGTACACCCCAACCTTTGTCGGTGGTCATAAACCGCTCAACGCCCGGCGCTACCTCGTGCCTTTGAATCTTCTGGTTGCCACACTTGTCACGCGCCGGACAACTGGAGGGCGAGCACTCCGTATATACCATGCGGTTCAGGCAGTTATCGCCACAACCTTGATCCGGCTTGCAATTACAGGTAGGATGATCAAGTCCGGCCAAATTGGGACGTACTGCATCCGCATAGATGTTTGTGCGAATTTTCCGATAATTCCACGAAGGTACTGTAATGCGTGTGGGCAATTTTGAGTTGGTATAGGCCCACCAAATGTCGTAGGGCAGTTGGAAATCGATTTGTGTGCGCCGAAAGTATTGCTCACAATAAGGGGGTGGTAGCAATTTGGCTGTTGTTGCTGTATTCGCGCTGTTATTATTTTCCACATTCGAGTTGCAGCTACTTTCGCCCAAAACGGGCGTGGTTGCTGACGTTTCAACCAATTCTTTCTTCTCGGTCGACTTCTTCACACTTGCAGGCGTGTGCAATTGTTTGAAATAGTCCGAGAAGAGTCCGGCAGGTAAATAATTTTTCTTAAGACGTGCAACTTTTCGTACAGCCGTAGCGCTTGCGCTACTGGTGCTCGTCGCATTCGTCGAAGTGGAACATTTCTCATCACTGGTATCGCTCGTTGCTGTTTCCGAGTCAATGAAAGGCGTTTCGCTGCGCGGTAGTATGTCCTGCTCGGGGTAGTCAATGTTCGAGTCCTTAGCAGCCGACTCGGCAACAATTTCCTCAGGCGTAGATTGCGGTACGTCCTTAACGCTGCTACCATCGCCATTGGAGTCCATACTTTGGCGCAGTGCATTCGCTAGAGAGCGCTGTGCAGTGCTAGGCCGCTTTAAGCGTATTTTACAGCTGAAATTGGTGTTCGGATCAATGCCGGCGGGCAATTTCACTTTAGCTTCCAGTGACTTAGCGGTGATAATTTTATGTACCGTTGATTTGCTGAAACTGGCGGGACGGTCTGAAGCTTTCGAAATGTTTATTGGCTTCCGCATTTGCTTTGCCAGCGGGGAGGAGGGCTGTTTCGCAATTTGAGGCGTCTCCACGTTAGGCTTCTTGCGCTGATCGTCTGTTGTAGGCTGCAAAGATGGTGCGGCCTGTGGAGCGGTTGGCTTCAAAACAGAGGCGGCTGCCGACAATTTTGGTTTGCGACCACGCGCACGCGGCAGTGCGTTGTTGGTGGCGGCCAAAGGCTGCACTTTTTCGCTTGGCAGCGTTTTAGCAGGCTGCGGTGCGTCCACAACTTTATCTGTACTCTTTGTTCGTTTGCTCGATTTGGTTGTCGCCGAATTCGGTACAATGTTGACAGTCGGAGCTTCGACATCTGTTGATTTTTTTGCAGTAGTTTGAACGGGCTTAGCATTTTGGGATGACGTATCTGTACTTTTGGAAGCGCCCGCAAGTGATGTGTTTGGCGCGGCTGCAGCTGTATCGCTCTTTAAAGTCGTCGTGAGGTTTTTCGGCTTACGTCCAACACGACCCTTACGCGTCACAAATGCGTTTTCCTTATGCTCTTCAACAACCCCTTCCTTGGCTGGTACAATTCCAACCAAAGTCGGCACGCCTGCGGCCGAAGGTGTGGGTGTGCCACGCAAACGCTCCAGAGCCACAACAGATAGGCGCGGAGTGCGATTAGCGCGTTCGAGAAAACTATCGCTAGCTTCGCCTGAGCCAGGTACCCGATCACATTGTTTTTCTGGTGTCGCTACTACAGTCGACTTGGGGGTTACTTTCGTTGGTATAGGAACAGCAGTTGCACTGCCAGAAGCGTGGACTGAATTAGTGGGTGGAGGTGGCGGTATTATTTGTTGGGTTGAACCCTTTGGACAGACCTTCACAGGTTGCGTGCTTTCTACATCCTCGTCCACAATATCTAGCAGTAGCTGCTCACTTATTTGTCGTTTCTTTCGACGCCGCACATTCGGAAATCCGGTCCGATTAAATTTCTTACGTTTGCGTTTCAAAAATAAATTGGATGATCCAGTTTTACCCAGCATATTTTCCACAACGCGTATTGCGCTACTCTCAGTTTTAGCCGCCGCTGTGGAAGTAGGTGTGGTTGCGGGTGGCGTCAAGTCTTGCAGCATCAGCGGTGAATTCACCTCGGCTTTAGTGATGACAGGCGGGATGCTTGATACGTTACTTGATGCTTCACTCAGCTTAGCAATGGGTGGTATTTGTATCTCTAGTGCCACAGAAGGTTCGAAAACTCCAGGAGGTGGTGTATCCGCCGCTTGATGTTGGTTCAGATTGGCAGTGGGTGTTGATGGTTTCGGCTTACCCTGTAAAGCGGACTCTTTCTCGTCTGCATTGCCTTGACAGTTGCTAGTCGCGACTATTTTCGAAACCAGCACTTCGAGGCGGGAGCGTTTACGGTGCACCACATCACTTTGTTTTGAACTACCGGCCATCGAAATTGGGCTTATATCGAGAACCTTATGACTAAGCGTATTGTCGATGGCAATGCGCAAAGGCGAACTATTGCTGTGATGGCTACTACTACGCGGCGCGTTCCCACCGCTCTCACGACCCTCCTCCTGTTGGGGAAACTGTCGCTTCTTTGGTGTTAGACCAGCTTTGGATGATTTAGTGCTGCCACTGTGCGTACTTCCGGTAGCCGAAAGTGTTGCTGAGCTTCCACATATTGCGCCGAATTGTTGAGTATGTTGAGATTTGCCCGTAGAGGCTAACTTGGTTGACGCCACTGCCGCGGCCCACGCCTCAACAGCGGTACTACCAAAAAGTTTAGCGGCAACTGCTGCTTCCGTAGATTTCTCACCAGGTGTCAGCAAATAGTGTCGTTTCTTAAGGGGTAGCTTGTGATCATCTGGACTAGAACTGTTATTTGCTTTCTTATGACGACGCTTTCCGGCACCACCACCCCCGCTACCGCTTAGCACCGAACCGACGCCGAAGCCACCACTACTACTGCCGGCGCCAGCGACGCCTGCCAGCAGGGCGTATTCTTGATTTTCACTCATTTTTCGTTTTTTCAAGGAACGCTTATCGCGCTGCTCGCGCTTGCTGCTGCTAGTGGTCGCTGTGATAGTTGTGTTCAAACTCTGCGCTTTACCACCAGTTTCTATGGGTCCTTTTTCTTTCGCAGTACTGTTGCCGCTACCAGTAGGCTTTTCGCTGGCTCCAAGGGCGCTTTGTATGCGACAGCGAGTGCTGAATGTGTTGATTAGAATATCAATCTCAGTAAGTAGCTTGGAATCGATAACAGTGCCACCTTTGTTGGATGAAGGGTATCGCAGAAAACTTTTTCGTCTCCGACGTCTACGTACTTTCGATGTAGTCGAGTAGAATGAGCTGCAATAGCTGGCTACCGAGGAGCGTCTTGATTTTATTTTTCGCGAAGCATGCGCATGCGGCAGCAGCAAATCGTGGGCGCCTCCACTTACCGCGGCCGATGTATGCTTGCGCTGTAATAGAAGCTTACGACTGAAGCCATAGCTATCATGTGAACCGCTTCCCTCTGGGTTGTCATGCAAACTACCAGCAAATATATTCCCTCCTGTCGTCAGCGCGCTACTGCTGCTACCGCGTCCGAAATATTCGCCTGTGGCAATAAATCTATTAATTTCCCCATATTTTTTCGAAGCGCTTGTCGTTGGCAAACTCTCTAAATTTGGCTTGCACACATACTCGTTACTCTCTTCACTGCTCTGCCCAAGCGATAGTCCAGCCAGTTGGAGCAAGTCCTTTTCTACGTCATTCAAATTCGCCGCCAGATTCCCAACTGATTTAGAATGTGCGCGCAAAAGCGCTGAGCGGCGCTTTCGTCGATATTTCGATTTCAAAGAAGCGCCATCCTTGCCGTCCTTATAGTCGCTGCGGTAGCCGCAACTTTTGGCTCGGCTGCGTCGACTGGCGCAACTTTTCATGCTGTAACGGCTCTTACCGCTAGCATCGCTCTTGTAGCCAGAGTGATCACGTGGCGCACGCGCATGAAAGGATCCATAATCGGAGACATAACCACTCTTTGCGGCAAGTATTTTGCTACAAATTGTTGTGTTGCCGCCACCGCCATCGCTTTTGTAGCCGCTAACGCTGGGACGACGAAATTTCTTATTCACATCTATTTTTCGCCACACAGGGTCTAGTTGCAGTTCTTCTTTGGTAGCGGCTTTTGATGTGGCCGGTGTTAGGGGATTACCTGCCGCGTTATTAATACCCAATGCAGCGTTCGATTTCACGTTAGATTTGCTGCTGGTTATTGCCGCTAAATTTACGCCAGAAGCGCTTAGCGATTGACGGCGTTTATTGCGCGGCGGCGGGTAGAGTACACGCTCTGTAGCGGCATACATACGTTTATCTAAGTAAGCGATATCGATTTTTGGCTTTGGAGAGCTGGCGCTGCAGCTACCACTACCATCTTGAGTCTGACTTTTGCTAGGTGAAACAGAAGGTTGTCGCGCATTGTCGGTAGCCTCCAAAATACGATGACGTCGCTTTTGACTTGGCGTTGTTGCTGTTAAACGTGATGTGTTCGTATTACTGCTTATGGCACATGTTAATTTAGGCGACGGCGATGTACTGCTTTGTGTTGTTGTACTAGTCGTGGATATAACGCCGGAGTCGGCGGATTCATTTATATTCGACGCAATCGCTGTGGTTCCCATAATTGTTTGCCCTGAAGAAGTGGATGTGATAATAGATGTGGCCGCACTAGTTATGGCATTCGACTGCAAAACGTTTGTGCCAGAAAACTTTTTCGGTCTACCCCGTTTTTTCTTAGTAGAGGCACTGCCAGGCACAACTCCACTAGAAGCGACGCTATCCGTTTGCGAATTTGTGGAATGGGAATTGGCTATCAGTTCAGCGGTGACTTTATGTTTCATAGGTGACTTTTCAAGATTTTTCTCTACAACTGTTGATGTGCTGGCGCTGCTGCTGCCGAGCATTTGGGTTTTCTCCATAAAATCTTGCAACAACGTCGACTGATATTGCGGTAATCGTTTGGTGGTGCGCGTCTTACGATATGTCTCCGCCCCTGTTGGTGTATCGTCGCCATCGCTCTCTACACGTTTAATGACCGCATTCACAACATCATCCAATTTTAGTTCGTTATCACTATTATCACTGCCATGGCTAAAGGTGGCCGATCCACTGGCAAGCGCGGTAACATTGCTACACGCTAAGGGCTTTATTTGTGGCTCATTAGCCGAATGAGTATTGATAGCGGTGAGGAGAATCCGCGGTGCACGCTTTTGTAGCTGTTGTTGTATTTGCTTTTGCTTATAAATAGGCACATCGTCATCCGAATCCGAAGAATATGTCAACGGTTTGAGCTGCGAGTGCGTATGTACAGATTTTATATTAACTGTACATACGGCGGGTTTCTTGTATTCTGGCTGTAGTTTAGATTGTGCCTAAATTTTTTTTTTACAAGAAAGTTAGTGAATAAATTGTGAGCAAGCATATAGCAAAATCTAAACGGCATATACTATATTTAAGTTCTCTTGGATATAAAGGAAAAATAAAAATAATTACCTTCTTCCGTTTAACTCGCACACGCCTCGTTAGCGACTTATCTTTTGTACCAGCTGCAACAGTAGTTGTGGTAGCCTCTGAACAACCCGATTCCGCTGTGGCATCACTCAGACACGGCGCTTGTGGTAGTAAATTTACTAATGGAAGTCCAATTGTTGCAGGGGTTGATATTGCTTGTGACGCAGATTCACTCGAGGCACCACCAGCACAGGCAGGTAAGGCCTTAGAATCAGTACCACTATTTTGTGGTACTGTATCTACTGACATCTTTTTGGCACTGCCACTGGTAGTTTGTTGGTCTTTAGCTGCCTTTGTTCTGTGCCCTTGTGAGGGCTCCGTTTGCTTTTGTAGTTTTATATTATTTAGTTTAACTGTTAATGGTTTGGTGATAGTATTATTGTTATAATGAACTTTTTCGCTAAAAGCGTGTTTTAGGGTTTTTGTTCTATCACAACTATCTCGCCGGGTTTCGAGATTACTTACACCCACTGTGGGTTTAGTTTGTTTTTTGGTATTAGAAATAGTTTTTGTTATGGGAGTGGGACGTATAGCGGAAATTTTCATGCGCAAACCATCCACATCTGAACGTTGCACGCTGAATTGTGTTACTGTGTTGGAAGATTTAGTAGATGTAGATTTCCGTTTAGAATTTGTAGTGTTCGAATTTTGTGTGTTAGTAGTAGTTTCAGATGAGGAGCTACTCGAGTGTTCTGTAACCGAATCGGATTCCTGTAAATACAACAATTGTTAATAGTTTGATTAACTTTAGTAATTTCTTTTTATTTCTTACCTCATTTTCGCTAATGGATTCAGTCTGTTTCTGCTCGTCCTGTGATTGCGTGTCCAAAACATTCTCTGCTCCTAACTCATTTATCGTTTTGTTCATATTTTAGAAATGCAAAAGCGCTGTTGAAAAAATATAATAAAAAAAAAAAGTATAAATATATTAATTTTTTTTTACTTTTGTGGATATGACTACGAATGTTTTTGTAAGTATAAAAATATTAAATCGTTTTAAAATAACATTGTTGTAAACTAAACTAATATTGCCTTCACTACAAAACACAGTAGGCAGAAGAGATTAATTTAATGCCCTTTACGGCTCTGTCCTTACCTATTAGCCATTGTAAAAAATAAAATTTGAAATATTTTAATTATATTATAAACTTTATTGATTTCATAAGGCAAACATTTTTAAAATATTGAATGATGCTTCACACATTTACTGTCAATTGGGCGACGTGACCAAAGCAACATAACTATATTCCTACCACCAATGGTTTTTGGTTGACTATTGTCTCCCTCCCGCTGGTGCACACATTCCACTCTCCCATATCTACGTATGTATGTAGGTATGAACTTAAGCACGTACATAAATAGGTAGGAGACAAGTAGACCAACAAAAAAAATGCAATGCTTATAGTTAGGTACATAATTACAGCGACTAAATAAAAAAGGCAGTTCAGCAAACTCACTAAACAAAGCAAGCATTAACGCACCAATTACAGGTTCTTATTAATACACGTAGGTATATATGCGCGTTTTAGCATGGCAGGAATAAGCGAGGCATGACGCAGGATAAATGACAAATTGCAGCTGCACTATTGCTAGGGTACTTGAAAATTAGCTAGATAAAGAGAAAATAAGGTATGCGTGTTTAAGAAAGAAAAAAATATGGTGTGTTAAAACACAACAAAACATTAGTTTAATAGCTCAGAAATATTCCAATTGAAGTATTTTATAAAGAATTTCCAGTTTAATGTCGCAACGAGAAAATGTCTGTTCTCTACAACCGATCATCCGTTTATTGTAACATCATCAGTCAGTCCATTACACAAAGTAGGTCAAACCACCATCGCAGCAACTAAACCAGCAAACCAACCAGCTAGCAAGCAAGACAGACAGACAAACTAGCTAATAACGTCAAGCACCGTTACCAATGCTTATTAATATATGTATGTACGTTTGGTTTTTGACGCATACTCATATAAAAACAAAAAAGCTCCGCTTGAACACTTGAATGAATCGAATTTTAGCTCATTTATTTTTGGTATATTTTAGTATTACACTAAAAATTCGATGTAATTATTATGGTTTATAACTCAATGCACTTACACGTTTTGCAATATTTTTTTCGCTACGTGCGCTGCAGTTTTCTCTTCGGCCTATACACTTACTCTAAATGCTTAATAATTTAATTCACTACTTTATTCACATTACTCGCTTACACAATTTTTAGTTATTCTAATTAAAAAAATCATAAGAAAAAATTAGCTACATTGAAATACAAAGATTCACTTTTCACTTTTCCCATCTATTTGCTGGCACTTTTCTTCTTTTGTTGCTTTCACGAATTCTTCAACTATTGGTTTGCTTTGTTCCACACTTGCATTCGTATTCTGCTTTGACTTCTTTCTTTTGTTCGTCTCCTTCATTCATACAAATTTATCCGTCTGCATTTATATTCTTAAAATGGCGCCGTTTTTCTTTGCTCAATGATTTCTGATCGCGTCGACGACTTTGAGGATTTCACTTTCTTTTAACTTAATATTTTCAACTTTTATATACATATTTTCACTATATATCACTTTTATATTAAGCACAATATACTTATTGAACGAGAGCGTATAGTTTTGGGTATTTCAAATGCAATTTTAATGGTGAAATTCAAATTGTTTAAAATTAAAATCACAATACACACACCAAAATAATAAATGAAAGAAAAATACTGACAACGGTCCAATAAGGAAAGAGTAGGAATGACAGAACTGACGGCAGCTGACGATTCGAAAGAAAAAAAAAATAGAAATGCCCTCAACGAAATAATTGTCAATGAGGAAATTTACAGCTGATTTGAGAATCAATAAACATATTGGATATATACAATATATTTGATATGATTGGTGTTTTTATAATTTATTGAACAAAAACTATATTTTGTTCGATAATTAGAAAATACCATCTAATGAAGTAATTGTATCATTTAAAATTAATTTTTTTCATATATATCTGTAATATACAGAAATATTCATATACAAATATTTACATATTATTTTGGGTTTGTCTGTCCTGTTTTGGAAAATAATAAGAGATAATGTCTTTGCTGTGAATCGGGATATTATTGAAAATCTGGATCATCCGATACCAAATATATGAATTCATATACGATCTTTGGTATTATTTAAGATACGTTCTTAGGTATGAGTCTATTTATTCCTATACGTTTTTTGTTAATACATTCTTTGACATTTATAAAGAAGCAAAGAACGTATTCATATACGTATTCATATACGTTCTTTGATAGTAGTAAATTCTTGTAGTCCCTAATGAACGTCCAAAAAATAAAGGTAATGGCGTTCCACTGAACACACCACAATGCATTTTTGATTTGACATTTCTCTGCTTCTATCACTTATATTTATGTGCAGTTGTCATTCTATTAAATTCCTGGTATTAGATTAAAGAAAATAAAATAATATTGCATCTATTTGCAAAATACGCTGAATAAAAAAAAAATTTGGACTTATATTCATACAAAATGAGTATAAACACAGGACGTGTTGCGGGTGATATGCTTTATGGCACTACGCTTTCGGCTGAGTCAATGAAAGTGATAGCTGAAAGCATTGGTGTTGGTTCACTACCAGACGACGCTGCTAAGGAACTAGCGGAAGATGTGAGCTTCAAAATCAAGCGTATCGTTCAAGATGCTGCTAAATTTATGCACCACTCAAAACGCGAGCGTTTAATGTTGAACGATATAGATCATGCGCTCAAAGTGCGCAATATCGAACCACAGTACGGGTTTACGGCAAACGATTTTGTACCTTTTCGTTTTGCGTCCGGTGGCGGTCGAGAATTACATTTTATCGAAGAAAAAGAGATGGAGTTGAGTGACATCATACAAAGTGGAGCGCCCAAAGTGCCATTGGATATAACATTAAGATCGCATTGGTTGGTTGTGGATGGCATACAACCGACGATACCAGAAAATCCACCGCCACTCTCAAAGGACTCACAAGCGCTAGAGTCTGTGAATCCAGTAGTAAAACTAGAGCAAGGTGTAACAAAAGACGCTGCAGGCAAACCGGCCACTGGCAAAATACATAAGCTGCGTAATGTGGAAACCGTGCACGTCAAACAGTTGGCTACCCATGAGTTGTCTGTGGAACAACAGCTGTATTATAAAGAAATTACCGAAGCTTGTGTGGGCTCAGACGAACCAAGACGTGGCGAAGCTTTACAATCGCTAGCGTCAGATCCTGGCTTACATGAGATGCTGCCACGTATGTGCACATTTATCGCTGAGGGTGTAAAAGTAAATGTAGTGCAGAACAACTTGGCGTTGCTTATTTACCTTATGCGCATGGTGCGTGCTTTGTTGGATAATCCATCGCTATATTTAGAAAAATATGTAAGTTGTGTACAATTATTAATAAAAAAGATTACTGTTCATGCATCTTTTTTATTTTAGCTACATGAGCTGATACCATCGGTTACAACATGCATTGTTTCCAAGCAACTTTGTATGCGTCCTGAATTGGACAATCATTGGGCGTTGCGTGATTTCGCTTCACGTTTAATGTCTTTGATTTGTAAGAACTTCAATACATCTACCAACAATCTCCAAACACGTGTTACTCGGTAAGAAACTGAAAAATCTTATTTTTTCGCATCATTTCTGATTGCACTTATTCCAATTAACAGCATCTTCAGTAAAGCGCTACAAAATGATAAGACGCATTTATCTTCCTTATATGGCGCTATTGCTGGCCTAACTGAAATGGGCGCCGAAGTTGTTAAAGTCTTTATCATCCCACGACTGAAATTCATATCTGAACGCATAGAGCCACTACTCCAAGGCAATCAAATGCAAAGTAATACTGATAAAACGGCTGCCGGGCATATACGTGCCATGTTGCAGAAATGTTGTCCGCCAGTTCTGAAGCAGATCAGGCGCCCACCAGACTACACTGAGGAATATAGGTTCGATTTCTTTAATGCCAAAAAATAATTAAAAAATATGTTATAGAATTGCATAAAATTCTTTTATAGAAATGATTATGGTTTTCTGGGACCAGCGTTATGTCAGGCAGTGATAAAAGCACGCAATGCGCCACCATCAACTACTACTCCAACACCAAGTAGCATTTCAAATGCACCGATTACCTCTGCGGCTGCCACGGCCTCAACGGTAGGGCGACCACAAGTGACGCAAATTAGGTAAGTTGCACCTAAACTAAAACCGCTTGTATAAGCTATAAATATTTACAACATTTTATTAATAAATCATGTGTATATGTCACAGCCCTGTTTCGGCTATACCACAATTACGCGCCATACAACATCCAAGTCAACCACCACAAAAGTTTGTCATCGTCTCCCAGACGAGTGCACAACAAGTTCAACAACAGCAACAAGTACCACTACTGCAACAGCAACAACAAGTGTCAACTATACATCAAAGACCGACAACCCCACAGTCGGTGTTATTGAGCACACAGATAAATTGTAGCGGCAGTAGTGGTAGTGGTAGTGTGTCTAATTCACTGTTGACTCGAGCTGATAGAGTAAGTTATTTATTTTGCCAAAGAGATGTATATGTATATTCTTAATAATATTATGTATGATGCCCGTTTATAGACTTCAGTTGATTCAAACTCGATAATTATCGAGACGGAGGAGATTCGTGCGCCACCGGAGTTAGACGATCTATCACATTTGGAATAAGATACAAAACTAAAAAAATATATTTTAAATAAATACAAAAATTTTGCAGTAAGAACAACTTCGAAAGAAAATATTTATATAAAATAAATACGAAAATTTAAATATTTCTAATATTAAACTTATAATATGGCTTTTTATTGTAAAAACAAAAAATAAATTGAAATTGTGGGTATTTCACATATGTGCCATTACAAAAGGCATAAGAAATATATAATAAGCCAAAAATAATTTTCTTTACTTCTTTCGTACATATAACGCACAGATTTTTTTAACATCTGCATTCATTTTTATTCTCTTTCATTTGTATTTGTTGTCGACATAGCTTGGCTTAATGAACTCACAATTCAGTTATACTTATATTTATAGCCGAGTAAATCAAACATTTACCGTTAATTAACGTTACCTGCTCTGCAAATGTATTTTTGTTGCTCTATAAATTTAGGTGAGAGCAGACAATGACATTTTATTGATTTTTCACCATTTTCACGACTTGCACCTAAGCTATCGACATACAAGTGATGTCGGGGCGTGGTGGTACTTCGCTTTATGCCTGGCTCCTTATTGCCACCAAACCATCCAAACGCCTCTCCCTCCCCCACCCATGAAATCAGTGAGACAGCCAGTTAGTCAGTCGTTTAATCGCACACCCAACACTTGACTGTTATCAGACTCGCACACCAGCACATACACAAAGCCATACACTTGCGCACAAACAGATACTTACCGTTGGCGGTGGTCGAACAAATGTGCTCGTTCGCATTGTAGTCGCACAAGAAAAACCGTAGTGTGTAGATACAAGAAATTTTTGAAACCAGCACAAAGGATACGCTTTTCATCAAACAAAGAAGAAATATTAAAAATAAGTTTTCACTGTGAATTAGCGCTTTGAAAAAGCTTTACATTAAAAGAAAAAACTTAATAAATAAACTAAGTTTAAATTAATTGAATAATTTGTGTAATAAATCAGTTGTAATGCGCGCACATTTTGCTGGTGATGTTACCATAGCTGAGGCACCAACAGATGCTGGTGCTGATAGCATAGATACAATTGAGGCCGATGAAGAGCCATTGGATGCACGTATCGATGAGTTTAAGCAGGATTCAAAGAACATGGAAGTCGTTTCGGAGTTCATAGATGATGTTTTGCAAAAAGCCGAGGCAGAAGCTGTGAAGCAGCAGGGTGGACAAAACGACAAAAATTCGCAACAGGTAAGGGAGTATTCCGGATGCTTCAACTCCAAGAAAATTGTGTGCGACTAAAAATAACTGTGCAAAATAATGTACACATGTATGTTTATACATGCATATGTATGTATGGGCGTGCAGCTTATTTATTAATTTTTTTCTTTACGATTTTCTATTTGCTATTTTTTTAGTCCAAGGAGAAAACACGTCAAAGTAAGTGCTTTGTTTTTCGAAAATATTTGTGTTTCTGCTTTTTGTTTGTCTTTAAATAAAACTACTACACTTATGCATATTTACAAGCACACGCACGCATGCATATATTCAAATATACAAAATAGCTGTAATTATGGAAATTTGAAAGTAGTTGGATCATAATCGCGTACACATTTCGTTGTGTAGAAAACTCGATCGCATGACTCCTTGTAGTTCTTTTCTGCAAATAAAAAAGGGAAAACAATTCTTATTTTAGATTTTTTCCCTTAAATATTATTTCTATTTGACACCTTAAGTTTTTCTGTTATATCTGGCATACTTACGAACATCCTTGCAAGCGTTTAAAGCCTCCTTGGCCGCGTCCTGCATCTCAGGTGGTAATATAATTGGAATTTGTGCTAATGCTTTTTGCACGCTAAAATCACCTTTTTTAGTCAGCTATAAATAGATGGAATACACATACAAATTGCAAAGAAACTGTTTACATGTATGTTACTATAAATATATATATTTATATGTCACACCAACGCAGACATGAAGATAATAGGATTTAATGTTGGAAGATGGAAAATAAATGCAACTGCATACATAAGAATGTAGATACTCGTACATAGAAATATAAAAATATTAAAAAAATATATATATAAAATAAGAAATAAAGTAATATCAAACAAATTAAAACAAGATAATGTAAAACAAAATATAGTAAAAAATTAAACAAGTAAAATATAATAAAATGAAATAAAGTGAAATAAAATAAAATAAAATAAAATAAAATAAAATAAAATAAAATAAAATAAAATAAAATAAAATAAAATAAAATAAAATAAAATAAAATAAAAAAACCAAATAAAATAAAAAATTAAGTAAAATGAAATAAAGTAAGATACAAAATAAATATAAAATAAATAAAGTAAAATAAATAATATGAAACAAAATAAAATATTTAAAAAAAAAAAATAAAAAAAAACTTTAAAAATCAATAACATTAACAAGAAAAAAATGCATCACTTACCGTTCCTGCCAGCTGTGCTATGCATCTGGTATAACACTTGAATAAAAAAAAATAATTATAATTATAATTAAACATCATGGAAATAAAATGTTTTTAGAAATCATATAGTTTTTAACTAAAGGTTGTGCGAACGTATTTTTATAGTTTAGGTATTTATTTCTTACCCTTAAATCGTTATTATTTTCGGTAAATTCACCAGCTCTTAATTTATCCAATATATCCACAGAAACCTTAAATTTCGGTGCACAGCCATTGCGCATCATGTCCAAAGAAGCTTCGAATTGTTGCATGGTTACCTTTAAATTTAAAAAATAAAATAAATCTATATGTATATATGTAAGAAATAGACTAATTGTCCTTCGTTAAATTTTTGCTAAGTCATTGAGTTGAGTGTAAAAATTAATATTTTTTTTTTGCAAGAGAAAATTTTCTTAGTTCTTATAATTAAAAAATAATTATTTGTTTTTGCATATATTTACTTTAATTTCTAAAATATATTCCAATAAGATATCACTCACCGCACCAACACTTGCGCATGCTAGTAATGTAAAAAAATATTTTATTCCATTTGTATTTAAAATCATTGCCTTATATTTTTCTTGCATAAAATTATTTATAATTTCAATGTTAATGTCGCGCTTTAAATGATGCGCCGCGGCGAAATTCAGTTACTTTTATAATCTCGTTTTAATGTTGTACACTGAAAAAAAAAAACAAAAGAAGCAAAAAATAACAAAACTGATTCTAAATTCAGATCAAATCTTCTGGACTTATAAACGTTTATTATTAACTCTTCTTATTTGACCAAGATGATTTCTAACGCACGAGAATCGTAAAAAATTAGTTTACGGTATTGAAATATTTTCTTCTTTCCTTTTAACCGTTCATAGTTTCATGTAAAAACTAAAGGTTTGTTAGACGTGACTCATATGAAATCCGGTTGCCATATATATTATATATGTATTTGTTGCCTTTTTATAATATTTGACGACTGTTACATCAATCAGCGACTTCTAGGTCTAGGTCTCGATGAGAACCTCACTTGAAAAATATGTTGAAAAAATAAAATCAAAATAGATAGAAAGCTTTCCTGCATCTCTTAAATAGTAAAATAATATTTTTCTCGATCCGAGGTTGGATCGAATTTCGCAATTCAAATTATTCACTAATAAGGGGTTCGTAAGAGCCGAAGCACCATTATTATTATTGTTAAAAAATTTAATTTACCAAAAATTCATATTTTCAATAACTATTTCTCCCAGTGTAAACAATCATTATCTCAGTGTTGGGTTTGTGCGCCTGATTAGCGAGCAATTATAAATATACACTTACAGACTAGGTAAACAGTTATTAAATTAGGTGACAAGTAATTGGTAGTAGCTGTAAATTATGTGTTATCTTATAATTAAATTTCACCCAGACACCTTAACACGAAGCTCATTCAATAATGATCGACCAGAATCAGTGGCGAACGGGGCGTATGAGTGATGTTTGAAGAGTTCGCTGGGTCGACAATTAATTTTTTCGTACATTAACTACATGTTTTGATGCCGTTACATGTCATTGCAACACCGTTAATGTTGTTTGTGCTTGTCCCTTGCTGCATGTTTTACTCGAAATGATAATGCAAAATTTTTTTCACAAATTTATTTTCTTCCCTTTTTTTTAACTATGCACTCACTTCCCATTGCCTACCACAAACCTAAATTTTTGCAAATTTAATAAAAAAAACGCTTGCTTTTGCAAATGTTTTGTGGAAATATAAAAAAAAATAAACACACACACCCACACACCAATTACTCGACCTAAAAAGGTTTCACTATACCAGATTTCAAGAATGGCAAAATGGTGAATCGTGCACGCGGTTTGGTCGTACGCATATTCGATGCCATCTGCAATTGCGCCAACACGGCAGCCGGACCGGCGCAACGTATCAAGTTGCGTGCCAAACGTGCGGCATCCAGCGCTACAGCGCCAGCCACGGAGAATGGTACCGAAGGTAAAAAGCCGGAGGCGAATGGCAAAGAGAAAAAGAGCGATAAGAAGCAGAAAGATGCCGCTAAGGCGGCTAAAAGTGAAGCAGCTAAGAGTGAAGAGGGTGCTGCAGCCACAACATCAGCCGAGGAAGGTGATGAGGCAGAGAAAAAGGATGTCTCAGCAGACGAGCCGGATAAGAAGCAGGCGGCAGAGGCAGATAAGCAGTAAGTAATTGAGTGTTAATTGCGTGCGTGGAAAATATGCGAGCGTATAAATAAGTAGTAAACATTGCCAATAATATAGTTTCCATTGCTTTAAGGAGTGAGTGTGAGGTGTGCACGTAAGAAGGGTAATAAGTACGAGGGGCGAATTTCAAAGTCGCAGTTGGTATGGTGGGCGCAGATTGTAGGCATTGAGTGCAAGAAAAAGCTCGCCTCTGACAGCACATGCATTACTTTAATATTGCAAGCAAATAGGAACTTATTAAGAAATCTTCAATGAAAGTCAATTCTTGTAGCATTTACTGAAAGCTAATTACTTGCCCATGTATATACATATATACAAATATATGTGTTTATAACATACATATATGTGTATGCATGTATGTATAATTATTAATGATTTTAAATTTACGTTTGTGCCCGCCATAACCGAGTTCGGCTTGCCTACCCTCTCAGCCACTCAGACACTGTCATCATTGACTTACTCCACTATAATTTATATACTATGTATAAATACATACATACATATATGTATGTATATGCAATTGCCGTATTTGTTAAGCTAAATAAAAGAATAATTAACTATGCATCTACTCAACGGTTTTCCAAGCTCGATTGCAGCTCAAGCGTTGCATTTCCTTTGCACAACTACATATATAAATAAATAAATAAATTAATTAATTGATTAAATAAACAATAAGAAACGCTTGCTAAAAGTAAAAAAAAATAGTAATAAATTAGTTGTAATTCAATAAATCACAATCGTTGCCACTCGAATCGCTAATAAATCACTTATTTACACCGATGACCATTTTTCAATCGTCAATCAATCGTCTTAAGTCCGAAAGAGACATGTTTTGTTTAATTGCTTGGTTTTAAAGATACCGCCTACTGGACGACTGATTTTTTTCAAAGGCGACTGAAATACATTCCAACTTCAACGCTGAAAACCAGTTCCAAACCAATTGTTTTTTCGCATCGGTGAGCGCTCGGCCCCGTTCGGCCTTCACTACTGTGCTATGCAACTACAGCTACAAAGTGTATTTCTCTCATTCAGCAGCTTTGTGCTCAGTTCGACTCGGTTCAGCTTTCAGCATGCATTCTGCAAGAGGCCTTAGAGCGATTCTCATAGGGCTTTCGGTCTTTTTTCCATGTCAGGTAACGTAGCCAGGTTACTGCAGGCGGTTACTTGTGTGAAATCTTTTTGATGGTATTCTCCGGGCGAGTTTCTGGCATACTGAGATTGAGAGTGAGATTTTCTGAAAAACACAACTCAGAACTCTCTCAACTTAGTAGCCCAATCCATCGACTTTTGGGAAAAAATCGGATTTCCTTCTAGTGTAGACTTCGACTTCTCAAAAGAAACATTGAAGGATAATTCGCTTACCAAAAGTTTTCATTGTCGAATCAAAGAACGTCTACATAAGTATCCTCCAACTCATTAATTATGGCTCTATAGCGCTTCATTTTCAAAGATAAAGGTCAATGATGGGGATGTTACATCGTCTAAGCAATGGTTGTGGATTATCATCATTCCAAATACGATAATTTTGTTTATTAACGTACTCATTACAATAAAAGTGACCTTTATCGATGAACAAAATTTTCTTTTGAAAATTCGCATCGGTGGCCAGCTCAATTTGGGCCTATTGATGTAACTTGCGACGTGCTTGATGGTCGCTAGTCATCAATTCTTGCTTGAGTTGGGTTTCGTAGCGTGCAAACCAAGTTCCTTCCGAAAAATTTTCCATAAAGAAGATGGCCTCATTCGGATCTTCTTTGATATTCTGCTACGCAGTAGCTATAGCGTCGTTGGTGAGCGTTGTACGGCGTCTATTTGAAAAAACACCCGATAGTGGTTGATTTCACAAACTAATTTCAGTCCTCTTGCGGTGTATTTTATAATTGGAAATTTCTGAAAATTTTTTAAGCAAACCCCGTCTTGTAGGATTTTTACATAAAAATAGTATATTTTTTTAATTTAAAAATATCGTAATCTCCGTAAAGGTTTCAAAATTATGTGAACCTCTTTCGATTTACCTAAAAGAATAGTATCTAACCACCAGAATATCACAAAACTATTTAAAATAAATTCAAAACCATCACCCCCATATCACACACTACTACATATATATACACCAAAAAAAAAAAATTGTATCCACCTAACTGATTTTATATTGAAATGTAATACTTACTAAAACTATACTTACATACATATTATATATTATGAACTATGAAAAATATTTTTATCCAAAGGTTTATTAACCTACTTAAATGTATGCATATGGATATGCAAATAAACAATACATACATATATAATTAATGAGGGAATTAAACGAGCACACAATCAATGTATTTTCTAACTAATCAACTTCTCTTATACAAACATACAACATACAGATAGTCATTAGCTAAGTGATAATTACTAATGAATTATATGCAATTAGTTGATAAATCAATGTAATACCGTTACATGTAGATATCAAATAACAATTGATGTGAGTTTGTATGTGTGTGTAAAATGAAAATAAATAATAATATTTTGCAAAAAAATTTGCATTTGCCCATGGGAATAACATACATATAGACACTCATACAAATAAAGACATTTATAAATGTTTGTAGGTGAGTAATATATTATACAATAAAAACACAAAAATTTTCTCAAACCATAATGTGTACTGATTTTTTGAAAAAAAACAAAAAGATTCCTTTACTTTATTTTTTAATCCGTCAATAATTTAAATCACAACTGTACTTTTGACGTAGAACTAAAAAACGGAAACCATGTGACGCAAACGTAAAAAACTGAAGTTTGAATAGTTTGAGTGAAAATAAATTTACACTGAGAAAAAAGTTTTTACAAAAAAAAAAAAATATCAAAAATTTTGTATACACAATTTTGTGGTAGAAATATTTGAGGAACCATTTATATAACTGAAAATGAAAAAAAAAATAACTGGCAACTTTATATATATGTACGTGTATTGTCTTAAAAAATAAAAATAAACAATAAATTTGATGACTTTACTAATGCTATTGATATACATACAAACATAGCTATGTACTATATTATATTATATTTCTTAATAATAATAATAACCGAAACTAATAACGACAAATCCTTTTATAAGAAGTATTACCTTTCATATAATACTGTGATCCTTTCCAAACGTTTTTCAATTATTATTTATATATTATAACAGCGAAAAATAATGTAACAAAAATTATATAATGTTAGCTATTTAATCTACTGTGGTTTTTGAGAATTGTTAAGTTTGCTAAATAAATTTTTTTGTTGCTTAATTCTGTGATGATATGCCTCAAACTCCAATTGTAACCTGCTAAAGAGTGGAATATATCTATTGTGATGATTAGATTTTTGTATAAATTGAGTTATGTAGGTTGTTGTATTTTTAATTTACTTATTTTAAAACATTTTCTTTATTTTATTACATTTCCCTATACTTATTAAGGGGTTTTGCATTTTTTATAACCTGAAACTTGTTCCAAAATTTATCGATATATTTCATTTTATTTATTTATTTTATTTTTGATTTTAGTTTTTTTTTTAATTTTCATAATATCAATCATTTTTTCAGTAAAAGACGGTATATCTTCTTACAAAAATTTATTTTTACTTAAATAATTTTTTTTTAAATATTTTTATTTATATATTACATTTTTTTAATTTTAGTTATTTTTTTCAAAGAACATTTTTACTTTTTCCAAAAAATGAATTTTCGCAATTACGGTAATTTCACAATTAACATTACATTTTATTTTAGTTAAATTTTATTTAAAATATATATTTTTAACATATTTTATATTTATTACTTTATTTTAAATTTATCTATTTTTCTATTTTTATTTTACTTACTTTAAAAAAATGCAGTTATACATAAAGTATTTTTATTTAAAATATATTTTTAAAAATGTTTTCTAAATATTTAATTTTTGATTTAAATATATATTTCTTAGAATTACTATTTTACTTTTTTATAAAAGATTTTTTTATTCTTGAAAAGATATAATTTTTTAAAATAATTTTCCATTTATTTATCTTGCAGTTAATTTAAATCAGTTTATTGTTAATTTATTATTATTTTTTTAACTAATATTTATATGCAATTATATGCTATTGGTGTAAGTATTTTATATTGGCAATTGATAGCAAAAAAAAAATGAAGAAATTCAAATAATAAGCAATGTTTAATAACAAATACATACACACATATGAATGAATGAAACTAAACCGTTGTAATATTTCTAAAAGCAAATACATAATAAAGTTTCAAATCAATGTAAATATTAATTTTCAATTTTCTTGCGTTTGGTGGCTCGACATATCGTCGAATAAGAGTTTTTACCTTTGTAGAGTTTACCATTAGGGAGGTAATGGGATGTCGATCTACTTCTGGGCCTATTGGATCCTTGTAGTTAGGGTTAAAAGAGATGGCAACCCAACAATTAGATTTAATGGTTTCCTGAATTCTTTTAGTATTGTTTGTTAAACAAAGATGTGTCTGAGAGCGATATAAATTTCAACTTCGCGGGCAACGAGATTTTTCGAAAGGTTTGAGACTAGTTACGTGAAAATTTGAGCAAATGAAAGGAAAACAAGAAAGAATAGCTGTCTTCGTGGCACTGGTCTTTTTATTTTCCATGACCATATCAAATGTGTGGTATATCATTTTAGAATTAAATTTTAATTCTCAAATTTGAAAAATTAGTAAAAATCAGTAGAAGGGGTTACATGGTAAAGTTTTCCGATTTCGATGATTTTCAGCGTTATTTTTTTTTACTATAGACAACTTCGTCCATTTAGGAATGGCCACTAAGATCAATAATAACATCAACATAGAAACTCTACATAGAGTTCCTCTATCCAACAGGTGTGACTTTTTATCAGGTGTACAACTTTGCTTCCGCGGCTTTCCGGCTGAGGCTGGTTGAAATACATACGGTGATGCTGCTCTGAGTGAAAGAACGTGTCGGGAGTGGTTTCAACGTTTTAAAAATGGTGATTTCGATGTCGATTAGTGTGTGATTTACCTCTTAAAACCGGGTGAAACCATCACAGGAGATCGCTACCGAACGAAACTGACACGCCTTAGTCGCGCGCTAAAAGAAAAGCGGCCACAATGTCAAGAGCGACATGACAAAGTCATCCTCCAACACAACAACGCTCGGCCTCACGTCGCAAAAGTGGTCAAAAATTACCTGGAAACGCTGCCCCACCCGCCGTATTCCCCAGATGTCGCCCCTTCTGACTTCCATCTATTCCGTTCGATGGCACACGGCCAGGCAGATCAACATTTTCAATCCTTCGAAGAATTGGAAAAATGGATTGGTTTGTGGATAGCGTCAAAAGAGGACTTCTTTTTTCGAGACGGGATCCGAATTGCCGGAAAGATGGGAGAAAGTTGTCGCTAGCGAAGGACAATACTTTGAATAATATATCTGTAAGCACTTTTTCGCAATAAAGCTTTTAATTTTGGAAAAAAACGGCGGAAGCAAAGTTGTACACCATGAGTCGGTATAAGAGTAAGATTTGCACTAGATTTAAAGATATTTACATACCAGCGGTGGAAAATACCACAGACGAAGGAAGGATGAGTTTTACGAGATAAATGTATACAGCTGTTGGAATGAAAGACACTGGCTAGGTCATGTCATCCGAGTGTATGAAAACACTCCAGTTCTGAAAGTACTCGCTGCGAAGAACTCGCTTGTGAAAGCAGAGGAAGAGCGGGAACCCCATTCCGTTGGAAGAATTAGGTGGAGATGAACTTTATTTCACTGGCGTCGAATGGCTAAAAGGCTATTACTATTTTGGCTCCCTACCCCAATAAAGATAAAGAGGAGAAGCTCTCTCGAGTTTTTTCCAATTCCAATTTCCGAAGTCTATGTTTGAGATTTCTTTCTAAATTTCGTCATATGAAGAGCAAAGTTTGAAAACCGATCATCAAAGTAGGTATAGTAAATGCTAACAAAGCCTTACTGTAATCCAAAAAATGCATAAGCAAAGCAAATCACTCATGCAATAAACTTTTTGTGTGACCATGATATCGAGTCATAGGTATAATAATAAAGCAAAAACAATAACAAATAACAAAACAATTACAACTTGGTAATATCGTTGCAGCCAACTAGACCCCCTATGGATAACAGCAAAAATAAAAAACCATCAAAATGATAAAGGAAATCCCAATGTAGTGAGTATGTAGCTCAATATATACATATGTACATACAGAATAATATATGTATTTTTTGCTTTAAATAATTAAATATTTTAATCAGCGCTGCAAAGAGTGGAAATAATAATGAAAAAAAAACATAAATGAGCAATAATGTTAATCGCTAAATATGTAGAAAACAAAAGAGCAAAAACCGGGCAAACGAAACGGCTTAGCGACGAAGCTCCGATTCGAAAATCAACCGGCAACGGTTTGTGAATAAAAAACTAAGATTGATCGAATTTAGTTGACGAAGTGTTGAGAACCTGAACGGATTTGTTAACTAAGTTGACGGCGGCGCGCATCTACAATAAGCAACAAGAACAAGAAATAGTAAAACAATAGCAATTGTGGGGTGGGAAAAAAGCGCAAGTGATATCCAACGAACGGTCTATGGAAGTGAGTAATGTGATTTGAAAAAGAGAAGCGAAAATAATTAAAATAAAAAAAGTAAATATATACATAAATGTAATGAAAAGTGTTTAGAAGGTGAAATTTCCAATAGGCGTATAAAAATTTCGAACTCATTATTAGTTTGTGGAAATTTAACGGTTTTTAAATTTTGTGAGCGAACAGAAATAAAGCAAGCGAAAGTTATTTTAAGGAAAATACTAGTATTTCTAAATTATACAATTAAGAGATTCTACTTCTATATTGGCGTAGAGACCACTAACTCTTATTGAAGCGTACACCTGCTCTATTCAGCTTTGCATCTCGTACGATTTTCTAGAAATCAAATTGTCTTTGTCTTTTTATAGAATCAAATTGTCTGCAAGCCCCTTTGGTATCGAATGACTCCAAGGGATCCTTCTCAATCCTGACGGATTAAGACATCACTTCCGAAAATATAGTTAACAGCATCTCTAGCTCTCAGTTAATCTTTTGATGAGAAATTCTGTTATATGAAAAGCAAAAACATTGGCTCAAGTTCACCCAAAGTGATTGGCAAAGAGAAAATTGTTGACGAATATTAACTTAAGGCTTCTTTTTAATGGCCTCTAACCGTCTCTTTTGAAATCGCGAGCAAAGTGTGAGTGCTATGAGATGCTATGGTATGGTGGTAAGAAGTCTCGTCCGAAGCCCGGCGTGTAAATTCTCTATTAATGTGGACTAACACTTAATGTTTATTGAAATGATTTGTTCCAATTGTAAAAATAAATAAAGCCAACTGCAGCTGCTTATAAACTTTTTGCAATTAAAGTGCACCGTTAGATACTAAATTTAAACCAAATGGATAAACCGAACCGGATTAATTAAAAAGTCACATTTTTAACTGTCGACAAAGAGAATTATTTTTTTTTTTGCACTAATTTGATAAAATGTTTCTAATAAAAAAATATATATACGAGTATATACATATGTATGCATATGTTTCATATGTGTATATCTAAAATTTTAAATTCAGACCTTATCAGCTCCACAATTTGAAGCTTGTGTTAGACAGGCACTTCGGGGGCAATTTTGGTTTTGAGTATTATTTTTAACATAATTGTTAACATATATACATATGTATGTATATAACACTTTTTTTATCAAAGCATTAATTTTTCAACCTTAAACTTTGTAGTCGGTTGTCTTTTTATAAGCGTGAATCTAGAGGCATGTGACCATTTATATTTCCAAAAACAAAAAAAAAAAACAAATATCATAAATTTTTATGTTAGTTTCTCTGTAATTTTAATAAAATTAGAAATGATTAGCGGTTTTTTGGTATTATTGGCAAAAACAAAAAGGATTACTTTCGTGTTTTTGGCTACTTAATTAAATAAAAAAAATCTGCTTAAAATTGTTTTTTTTTTAAATGCTGACCGTTTTTTAACGGAAACTCCAATATGTTTACTATTAAAAATTGCTGTGATTCTGATAAATATTTTTTTAGCATTATGTTGCCGTATAAAACAACACTCTGGCTGCTACTTATCTCTGGTTTAGCGCAAAGGATTTGTGCTGCAAGCAAGGACTATATCGGTATGTATTGTAAGGAGAAGTCAATATGATAATTGGATATGGTCACCTTTTTATATTTCACTAACAAATGCATTTCACCAAATATATGGGAGGTTAGGTCCAAAATCTAGTCTATGCAGGAAATCCGAAGTAAATATATGCCGAAATTGTGAATGGCATTAGCTTTTTGAAACTTCCAGAGAGCCGATAGGAGTAACCACCGCTCTCCACGGATGGTCAAGTAAACAAAATCAAAGATCTTAGAAGAATATGAAAGAAATATTGCGAACGATACTTAACCGACGAAAGAGTAGGTATCTCCAATAGTTCGAAAAACCAGATACTAAATTTTTGCGACTCGTCGGCATGAGGAGCGACTTGTTTTGTCTTTCTTCGTAGAGATAGGCTTTCATTATGCAGTTACATACTTAATCCAAAGCACCTGTTGGCGAGAGCGTTTATTTCTTAGATTTTAAGGATGCAGTCACATGATAGTGAGTCCTCCTGTCTAAAACCTCGCTCAGTATCAGCTTACATTGTCGCATAAGTTTTGCGGTGATACCAAATTCAGATCTTGCGCACATATATATGATTGAAGTATATAACTGGTGCAATGATTTCTGACCGAGTTATTTCTCCCTTTTGTGGTTTGCTGAATTTTCACGAGGAGCTTTTATTTCATGTCAGAAATACACTCGTAGAGAGTGACATTCTCTACCGAGGAGCGATGGGAATTCGAAATCCTAGTTTGTATACGCTAATGCGGTTGCGGGTTCCAGTCTCTGGGCATCCATTTCAAGATACAGAGCTTGACTCTAGCCTTGTCCAAAATTGGACCACCTCTTGAGATGTTTGGGCTCCCTCACACATTTAAAAAAATTATATGGGAGAAAATATTTCTCACTACAAAAAAAAAAAAAAAATGATTTTAATATATTGAATGATATTCCCATATCCGCAACGTACATAGTTCACGTGCTACTAATTACCGTTAATACAATATTATTTGTCATTCCACAGATCTACTCGAACTGCCGGACAACGATGAATTTCTGTGGGGTCGACACGACAATGAAAATGCATACAACGTAGCACATTCGAGCGCTAACGGATCTAATAGTACAGCAGAGGGCGGAGGCAGTGGGGATATTTTGATGCGTCACATATTGAAGAAGCGACAAGTGATTTTTCAAGTGAGTCCAATGCACGTAATGAATAAAATGCACGCAATTAAATAAAAATAACAATAATCACTATAAATAAATGAGAATGAGACGGTAATTTCCCGATGTCAGAATGCATAATCAGTAATTGTACTTGCTCTCTCTCTTTTTTTAGGAAAATAAAGACTATGGTGAATGCCGTACGGCGCTGGGTGAAGTGGGTCGCTGCCGACACCCACTTTACTGTCGTTTGCCGGAGTTGAAGAATGATGTTTGGCGTTTGATCTCGCAGCTGTGCATAATCGAACAATCGTGAGCCATTTTTGCCTCAATCTCAATTCTTAATTGATTAAGAAATTTTCTTATAGCACCATCGGTGTGTGTTGCACGCAACAAACCGAGTCGCGCTCCAGTCCACAAGTAATTAGCGATGTTAACGGTAATGGCTTGGACGAGGCGCGTATTGTCAACAAACCCGAGCAACGTGGTTGTGGTCTGACTACTAAACAATTTCCACGCATTACTGGCGGTCGGCCGGCCGAGCCCGATGAGTGGCCATGGATGGCCGCGCTTATACGTCCGGGTTTACCGTATGTGTGGTGTGGTGGCGTGCTCGTCACAGATCGTCATGTGCTCACGGCTGGACATTGTGTGCATAAATTTCAGAAGGAAGATATTTTTGTACGTTTGGGTGAATATAATACGCAGCTGTTGAATGAAACGCGCGCACGCGATTTTCGCATTGCTAATATGGTGATTCATATCGATTATGATCCGTTGACTTATGAGAATGACATTGCGTTGTTGCGCCTGGATCGTGCGACACTCTTCAACACCTACATTTGGCCAGTTTGCATGCCACCGGTGGGACAGAGTTGGGAGGGTCAGGTTGGTGTTGTGACCGGTTGGGGTACACAGACATTTGCCGGTCCACATTCGGAAATACTAATGGAGGTTAGTTGGGAGTGGTTGGATGAGCAGTGATTTATTATAATTTGTAATTTTTTTTATATTTGCTTAGGTCTTGCTTCCCATTTGGCGTCTTTCCGATTGCCGTAATGCGATGGTTGAACGCATTCCCGACACTATGATGTGCGCTGGTCGGCGTGAGGGTGGTCAGGACTCGTGTCAAGGTGATAGCGGTGGTCCGCTCCTCGTGCAATTGCCAAATCGTCGCTGGGTTACAGTTGGTATTGTCTCTTGGGGTGTACGTTGTGGCGAGGCAAATCGTCCTGGCATGTATACGAGTGTTAACCATTATATGCATTGGATACTAGAGAACTCGGATATTTAGTGCGATTGAAAATAACTATGTTGCATCCTTAAAAAGCCGTTTATTAAATAAAATGTTTGTTTAATACTTGCTAGTTTGTTTCATCGTGAAAAACAAATTTTGAAGTAACTAACCTATACAATATTATATTCATATGTTTATATATATTTGTTTTAAACAATTACCAATTACAAAATTGAAATAATAGTATATTCGTATAATGCTTAGCATTAACTTTCGACTAAATTTGTTACTTCACATATTGCTGTGTGGAACACTTTCTGGGCATCAACTAATTGGAAAAAGCGATTTTATATACATCATCATAGGTGGTAGCGAAATGCACTTCAAGGCCATCGGTAATGTATGATGGTAGTTCAGCGAAATCTTTTTTATTCTCTTCGGGTAATATTATACAGGTGACACCAGAGCGTTTTGCCTATGAAGAAACGATAAAGTGAGCTCGTTTTGTTTATAATAAATTAACATTTTGAACACTCACAGCAATTGTCTTCTCTTTAATGCCGCCTACAGGCAGTACTCTGCCTTTAAGGGAAACCTCACCAGTCATGGCGATATTTTGACGCACAGGGCGGTTTGATGCCAGCGATATTAGTGCCGTTACAATAGTCACGCCGGCGCTGGGACCATCCTTGGGAGTAGATCCCTCCGGAACGTGCAAGTGTATGTGTCTGAAAGAGTTTATGTTATACATAAAAGAAATACAAGTAAATGTTTAAGGATAGCCCACCCGCGCTCAAGGAACGCACTGTCCGCGTTTGAGTTGCGCATGAAATTTCGCGCAACAGTCAAAGCAATTTGTGCCGATTCCTTCATGACAGTGCCTAGATTACCGGTAATGTGTATTGAACCACTAGAATCTTCGTCTTTTTCCAATTTAGTGGATCTACGCGCTGCGGTTTCGATGTAAAGCGATGAGCCGCCCATGGCAGTCCACGCTAAGCCCATAACAACGCCCGGTGGTGTTTCTTCGTACATGCGATCGGATGAGAAGATATGTTTGCCAAGGAACGTAGTTAGATTATCGCCTGTTATTGTGAACTGTGTACCTTCCTTTTTCACAAAACGATAGGCGACTTTGCGTACAATCTAAAATGAAAGCAAATATATATAGAAAAATTATAATTTTCAATAAAATTTCTACGCACCTTTTCAATTTGTTTTTGCAGATTTCGTACGCCCGATTCGCGACAATAGCTTTTAATTAAAGTTATTAGTGAATCATCTTCAATGCTTATATGATCGCTAGTAATGCCACAGTCGCGCATCGCTTGTGGTATCAGGTACTGTCGGGCAATTGCCATTTTTTCTTCAGCCACATAGCCGGACATCTCAATAAGTTCCATACGATCACGCAGTGGTTCAGGTATTGTATCGATAACGTTTGCTGTGCAAATGAAGAGCACATGTGAGAGATCGACGGGCACATCAAGGTAATGATCGAGGAAATTGGCGTTCTGTTCGGGATCGAGGAGTTCAAGCAAAGCAGAGCTGGGATCACCTTGGTAACCTCTGTAAGGTGAAAAGCGGCATAAAATGTACCAAGGAAGTTCAAAGCACATTTCAAGTTCTGTTTTCTACTTACTTGCCAATTTTGTCCACCTCATCAATTAGCACCAGCGGATTCTCAGTCTTTGTCTTTTTCAAGCATTGTATCAGTTTGCCAGGCATGGCGCCTACATATGTACGACGATGGCCTTTGATTTCTGCAACATCAGTCATGCCACCAACACTAAAGCGGAAGTATTCACGATTCAGAGCCCGTGCGATGGAGCGTGCTAAAATTTGTATTGGCATTACATATAGAAAAAATGTTAAACTTATCATAAATATAATACATACCAATACTCGTTTTACCCACACCCGGTGGTCCATGGAAGCAAAGAATTTTGCCCTGTGTGCTACCTTTCAGGTGGCTTACAGCAATGAATTCCAAAATTCGTTTCTTAATATCCTCCATACCATAGTGGTCGTGATCTAGGATCTTTTGCGCTTGTTCCAGACTCAAATTCTCGGTGCTCGTGACACCCCAGGGCAGTGACGTTAGCCAATCCAAGTAGTTACGTGTGACGCTGTTAATAGTTAATTAAAAATTATTATTATCTTATACAAAGCAGTAAAATTTCTTTATATTCACTTGAATTCCGAGCTATGGCTCTCCAAGAAATTCAGCTTATTCAATTCCTCATCAATAACGGTCATCACATTTTCGGGAACCGTTTTATCTTTCAATTTCTCACGGTATTTCTCGCCAATAGCATCTTTATCATCTTTTTCAATGCCCAATTCTTTCTTAATCACTTTAAGCTGTTCTTGGAGTATGTATTTGCGATGTTGTTGCTTTACCTTCTCCTCAACCTCACGTCCGATCTTCTGCTGCAACTTCGATAACTCTAGCTCTTTTTTGAGCAAAGCCAAAGCAAGCAGTAAACGCTTAGGTATCTGAAAGTTGAGTGGCATGCAAAAGTATAAGATCTAGACGATATTCTAATAATTTATAAAATATGACTTACATCCATTTCCTCCATGATTTTCTGTAATTCTTCTGGTTCGGCAGCTGATAGTGAGGCACCCAAGTCACAGAGATATACTGGATTGTCAACGACGCGTTGATTTTGGTGCAACATTTGTTGCAAGCTCTCTCTGTAAAATGATGAAAAAAGTTTATAAAAAATAGTTTGTACTTTTTAATTGGAGTTTTAAATTACCTGTAAAGAGGATTCATTGTAATAATATCACGTATTGTCTTTATTACTTCCTGAGTGAGCGCTTTCACCTCCTCTGTTTGTTTGTACTGTTCGTGCTTTATATTTTCTACTTCAACCATTAGCACTGGTTGCGGAATATTACCAGTTATTGGCGGTATCTGGGCTGTGCCTTCTGCCGGTGGTACAGCACCGACAGCTGGTGGTGGTGTAGCTATTTCTTCTGGTTTTTCAGTTGGCGTTTTGGCTGACTGATTGGCATCTCGTTTGGAGAGACGACCTGTGCGCACCTTACGTGCTAATTTACGACGCTCCAATTCCTGTTCTTCAGCTGGGATGTTCAATTTTACATTAAAGAGTGGAAAATGTATTGTCGTCTTCTTCTCTGAGTGGAGAGGATTTTGACGAAATATTTTCTTATATATAATGTCACAATACCAAGTGATAAATGAATGGAGTAGAGGATGATAGAGGAAGGGATAAGACAGGTAGGGTGGGATATTGGAAGCGAAACTGGAGAGCTTTTTCAACCAGTAGGTTAAAGGGTGACCTAAATAACACTACTTAAAAGTTGTCTAAGGGTTGCAAGAAATGCATTCAAAATTGACTCGTAAGTTTAAATTTCATAAAAATCGGTATTATTAAGAAAAACGCCAATGTATTAACTAAAATTTGATGCTATTTTCACTATCTCTTAGCAGACAATTTGCTTAAATTCTCTATTTCACAACGAGGCTTACCTTTCTGCGGTGGCACTAAATCTTCCAAAATTTGGCCTGTGATTTTTATACGCCTGTGTGCCACAACAACCATGCGTAGCTTATCGCCCAAATCTTGGAGCTCTTGGATTTGCGCAAAAGTACCAACATTGTACACTTCATCTAGTTTTTCAACGATTTCCGATTCATTATCATTATCCTTTTTCATGAATACACCCACATATGGCTGATTTAATTTCACCTTGCGCCTTATCAAATCAATAACCATTGGATTTGAAACCTACAACACATAAAATTATATAACACATATAGTAACAGAAACTTCTCTTTCATCATAACGTACTTCTAGAATTTTCATAAAACGCGGAAAGACTGGATTACGTCGTGTCGCAAGCAGCGGCACATGCGGCCAGACTTCCGGTACAGCCACAGTTGCAGGCAGTTGTGGATCCTTGTTTACAATGTACTCGGTGGATTCAACCTCCACTTCTTCTTCTTCATCTTTTTTGCGATTGGTGCAGTAATTGCGTGAGCTCCAGCTGGTTGTTGTTTGGAGTACAAGCGCTCTGCTGCTGCCGTCAACGCGCCGCTGCAACACTCCATAACGCCAGTTCGAACGTGTTATATAGCGAGTGGCATTTTGGTCTTGTGTCACCAATGTACTAAAATTACGTGTGATTGTACGATGTCTCAAGAGACGTGTGAACATTTTAGAAACGCAATGTAATAATATTTTATTGTAAATTACACGCAAAACACAATAAAATATATTCTTATATGATAGATCCCAATTGGCAGCGCTGCCTATTTTTTACTACTTTTCCACTCTGTCAGTGTGTATTGACAATGAAATGAATGAATGACAGAAGTAGCGAAAAGAATTGAAATCATATGGTGAGCTGTGTTTAATATTCAAAATGAAACTGATGTAAGAAGTCGCTTATGTTTTGAAATAATCTTATTATTTAATTATTATAAACAGTTTTCAAATAGCAAATTCAAAATTTAATTATTTTAACTTTCTTCACATCTCATCAAATACAAGCTTTTAATACAGTAAAATCTTTATTTAGCTTGCCGAACGTAAGAAAATCTGGCTCGCTCTGTTCAGTTTGCTTATTTCACCCACAGTGATGGCTAATATTTAAAAACTTGCCGTTTTTTTTATAGTGGACTTCAGGCTGAGATTTCCAGGCAATCTTTTATTGATGTTATTTGATGGAGATTTTCAAGGTTGGTTGTACTAGAACGGATGTGGAAACGGTTTAATTTCGAACAAAGTCCCAACTGCTTGCCACCAATTTAGCTATTGACATATCTATGCTATTTAGTTAAAAATGAGCCCCAACATCAAAGAGTCGAAGATGTCAACGGCCTTGCATACAGTCCGATTTGAATTAATTTTTGAAGGTTAGTTAATTTGGGTTATTTGGCAAACGCTCATTACATCTTTTAATTTTATAATCAAAGCTCGTGTTATCACAACAACATATACACTTATAACAAATAATTACTCAATTTGTGTAGACAAGTTTATTATATTTTTAAGCAATGAATCCTTAAATACAAAAAAATATTAGATGAAAACTTTTAAGAAATGTACATATGTATATAAAGATAATCATGAATAGTGTAAAGATGTTAGTACACCTGGATTGTTACAGAAATGGACAGCCAATACCATACTAAATATTAGCAATAAAGAGAAATAAATGCGATAAAAATTTATACTCGCCGATTAAGTGCTTATCTATGGGCTTTACAATCGTTACTGTTTAATTTTAAATACATTTGTACACACGCTTGTATGTCTTTGACGGTCTGAAGATCAAAATGGGTAGATATTTTTAAAGATAAGACATACATACATAATTGATTAACAAAATTAGTGGAAAATTTACTTAGAACAAGTAAGCAAATGCATTCAAACATAGATACCCGTACATAGCAACTGCACATAAAATTACATACATTAAATTAATTAAGCGCTAGTAATAAATATGTTTGAAGTACAAAATACATATGTAAATATAAATGTCGTTAGCAAATGAAGCTTTTGCACGCTTATAATTTTTACGCGCCATTATATTGTACATACATACATGTCTATCAGTGCTTGTGCTTTTAATTGCAAGCCATTTCAATAAGCTCGCGGCGAGAGGCGGCTGGAATCCACTTGATTGCAAGCATCAGTCGAATTTATTTATTCAATTCGATCGCAGAGCAAATGAAATCATTGACACTACAGCAAACGTAGTACTTGTCTGCAATCGAACATGTGCAAAAGTATATATTTACATACATAAGTAATGTACATACGTACAAACGACTCTATAGCTGTAGTCAACAGATAGCAGAAAGGTAGTAGGCGGCGGGTGGTCATATGCATATTCAGTCAGTGTGTAATTTCACATTCGGTCGTCAACATTGAAAGTGTCTCGGTGACGTTGATTCTTGACTTAAAAACAAAAAACAAAAAAAAAATTTTAACGAAAAGGAGAAGAAGTGGTTTCAAAGGTAATGCAAAAATAGTGGTAAAGTTGTGGTTAGCTGTCAGCTGTGCATTGTTTATCGCGAGTGTGTTGAAAAGTGCAAGTTCTTCCTAACTTGGTTGTGTGTTGCGGACTATCGTTTTTATCCGGTTTGTGGTATATTTTTGTTAATCGCCTTCAAACCGACTGAGTTTATGCCAAGTTTTTCGAAACCTCTTTCGAAGAGGGTTAGAAATGCAAGAATATTATAGTAAATAAGTCAAAAGAAAATAAAATTAAATAAGGAAATAAAATAAAATAAATTAAAATAAATTATATTATATTAATTTATATATTAAAATAAAACAAAATACAAAAATACAATATAATATAATAGAATAAAATAAAACAAAATAAAATAAATTAAAATAAAGCCAATTAAAATCAATAAAAAAAAGTAAAATGAAATAAAATAAATATAGTAAAAAAATAAAAAAAAAACTTACATAAAATAAAAAATAAAATAAAAAATAAAATATAATAGAAATAAAAGAATGAATGAAAGGAATGAAATTAAATTAAATAAGAAATTACAATTAAATAAATTAAATTAAAAAAATATATATAAAACACTCGTATAATAGAACAAAATAAAACAAAATAAAATCAATAAAAATATATAAAATAAAATATTGTAATATATGAAATGAACTAATTAAAAAAAAAATTAAAAAATTAATTAAAAAAAATTAAATTAAGTGAAATAAAATAAAATAATATAAAATAGAGTAAAATAAAATAAATTTGACTATAATAGAAAGAAATATGAAACAAATATTAAATTAAAACTAACTAATATAAAATAAATCAAAAGAAAATATTTAAAATATATATTCCTAATTTTATTTTTTTAATTTTACCACAATATTTACTTATTTACAGAACGAATTCTGCATACGAGAAAAAAAACACAACAATAACGATAACATATCAAAACTAGTACAAGTCGGCTAATCGCCACCAATTACCACGAACATGTCAAACAAAACAAACACAACAGCAACGACAAAAACACTAAAGGCAGCTGACGAGATTGATAAGATACGTCTTAATCTTGTCGATGACTGGAAAGTACTTAGCTCCGTCTATGATTTGTTGCATAATGAGAAAGCGTTTTGTGTTTCCGAAGCCGATCGGGACGCGGTAAAAATTGTGCACTTTATGCAGCCGAATGAAATGAAGGTAAGTTCGTACAAGGTAGACATACATATATATACATATATGAAGGTATGAATGGACATTTGTCTGGAACTAGACGCTTTGACTTGTTTTACCAGTGGGAGGTACTAAAAGTAGTGTTAAACTCAATCAGCGGGATATACGAGTATGTGCAGTATGTGTGCGTGTAAACTGTACCGCCATACTTCGTTAAGTTAATGTTGTTCGCTGAGAAAGCGCGGCTTAAACGCTACAAAGCTGTCAACACACACTTTGGCAACACACCATCAAATAGACTGATGTTGTGGCAGCTTGAAGCGCAGCGGATGACGACGCGCCTGCGTCCATGTCACTGTCATGGCCAAATCGGGTTTCATTGCGAGCGGGTGTGTTTTGGGCCGCTAAAACCGTTGACAATGCGGTCGATCGCACCGCTTTCGATGACAAGGCGCGTTTTTATTCGTGCTCATTGTGGATTTGCAATTAAAAAGTATGTCAAGTTTATTTTTCTTTTAACGGATTTAAACATTTTCATTTCGGCCGGCATTTTTAATGGCAAATCGAACAGAAAAGAGTGCTTACATACATACATACATACATACTTACATAGGAACAAGTAGATTTGTAAATCATCTGGGCAGTGGCTTGGTTGGCTTTTCACTTCACTTTGAAAATTGTTTTGTCAACATGTCAGCAACTGTTGCTGTTTGCTAAAAACTGCTATGCAGTTGCTATGTTGTGCGCCGTGTTGCTATCTATGTGTTACCGCTTTAGCGTCAGTTTTGTTGTTGGCCAAGTTGATCCGTTGTTGCCCGCTGCTGATACATGATCATGTTCGTAGATTGTCATGTTTTGATTTTTGATTAGGATTGTGTGTACTCGCTGCTATTTATGTACAAGCATTTGCTGTATGCATGTACATATGTGCATGACAGTCAGTCAAGCTTAAGTATTTCTTTATTTATTTTCACTCCAATCAGCTGTACTACATTAAATTTGTGCGCCTCGGCTTCAATTGGTGTTTACTTTGCTTCAAAAGCAACAATTTCTTTAATGCCATTCTTATTTTTTGTTTAGATAATTTTTTTTATTTAAAATTTTTTTTAATTTTTAAATTTTATTTTTAATGTTAAGCGGTTCATGTTACGATATGCAGATTTTGATAAATAAAACAATAAAAGAGTTAAGTTAGCTGCGATCAGCTCCCAAAGAAGGCCACATATTTAAACTCAAGATAATCGTGACGGAAATAAGCGATTACGTATTGGTATGGTTACAAGAAACTCGAGATTTTGAGTTATATCTACAAATTAAGTGATCAAATGACTCATATTAACCTCAATTTTGGTGAGAGTTTCGCGAAAGTTAAGCTCTTATTGAGGCAATAAACAGTTACGACAAAGTGTTGATGGGATATGCTATTTTAGTTCACGTTAGCCAGCAAAATTATTTTGGATGAGGAATTATGTTGTTCACATACATTTAAATAAGCTTTTACAGGTAGAAGTCTGCTGCTTATTCAATTTTCTACATGGATATGCAGGGTACTGCCTCAGATACATACATCCCCATAAAATATCTGAAAAATATCAATGCCCATCGTATATCTCACAGCGATGCTCGCTCCATCGTCTACAGCATGCTCCGTTATAGAATATTGTACACTTCCTCTATTACAAGATAGGTGGCAAGTGGGGTGCTTGACAAGTGCTCTCAGAGAGCAGGAGCGTAAGTCGAGTAGAAAACTGGCCAGTTGTAACTACGCCAAGCCCTTTCTTGTGCTTGTCGAAGGGTGCTCTTTGCTGCTATAAGATAAATTGAATACTTGTACCAAATATACATACATAACCCCTCTGCCTACCCTGGTGCTAAGATCGCATAGTAAGATTTTGATATCGTGACGAGATGCTCATACGAGTAAAAGTCATATTCGGTCCCATCGTCTATCTCTTCCACCTGTGCATGAGTGCGAATAAGTCATACAAAAAAGAAAAGGACTCCTTTATGAGGCATATCCAGCTTTTCATTGTAGCTGATTTCTAATTTCACGAAGCTCAAGCATAACGCACAACCTCGGAGCGTGAGTATTAGATCTCATAAACAAAAATTAAAAAATTTCCATCAAAGGACAGAGTGGGGAAATAACTTCGATATCACAATTTTAACATAGAAACACGATGCCACTTGCAGAATTTCTAGAAAAACTTGACGAAAAAGATCACACGAAATATACTCTCTTAAAAGAGCGGAAACCTCTTAGGTTGTACTAGTCTTAACAGGTCACAGCGTGATAGGAAAAACTAGGAGTTCTCTACGCGAGATGCTGAAGAAGCTGTAAGAATGTTGGAGAGCAAGAAACGGTCTTTGATCTCCTGTAAGATTGTCCTACTTTGGGCAGAGCTAAATAAGTTATCTAATGATATTTATAAAGGTATCGAAGTGGATGTCACATGGGACTATACTGGCCAACCTAACGTAACACAATTAGACAACAAATTAATTTTTACTTATTAAAAGTATTAGTGGGCAAATTTTATAATATCGATGTAGGTATAGATGTGTAGTAAAAAGATTAAAAAAATATTAGAAAATAAGCAAAACCATTTTTATAGAAAAAAAAAAAAAAAATAAATAAATATCTCATTATCTTTTAGGGAAGCTGTCTCATTTTTAATGATTGCTGATAAGCCAAGTGCAAAAACCTAACATACGTATACCAATATGTATATAAAAAAATATACAAAGTGTTGTATATTTTTTGTTTTAAATTGCTTCCAATCACTCATACGTACATCTTTTTGAATGATTAATAAGACAAGCTTTCTTATAGCAATTGATTGACCTCAGCATTGATGAAAATAAGACACATACGGTTGAGGAGATACAGAATTTATGTCGTCTTGTGATTAAATATTCAGTGAAAACCAATCATGGCCGGTTTCATAATCAGCTCTTCGGTCAAATGGATCCGTATGGATTGATGGGGCAATGGATCACCGATGCATTGAACGCAAGCGCGTAAGTAGAGACATTTCATATACATACATACTTAATTTGTATTTAAAATAAGACTTCAAATTAATAATAAAATATTTGTTTTTCATCGGAACTTAACTTTTCGCACAAATTAAAATATATTTTAATTATTATTTTTTAATTTTGATTCTTTTTTATTTGAATTTTTTATTTACTTTTATATTAATATTTCTATTTTAATTTTTATTTTTATTATAATTTCTATTTTTATTTTTTCTATTTTTCATTCCTATATATATTTTTTATTTTTAATAATTTTTTATTATTATTTTTTTTTAAACTATTATTTTTCTCTATTTTTATTATTACTTTTATATTTATTTTGATATATTTTTTAAATTTATTTTTTTTAATTTTTTTTTTAATTTTTTGCTTGTTTGTATTCCCATTCTTATTTTTATTTTAAGTTTTATTATTATTTATAATTTTATTTTTATTAAATTCTTTTTTGACTTTTGTGTTTTATATATTTTTTCTATCTGTACTCTTTTTATTATTTTTATGTTTATATATTTTTTATTTTTATTTTTCGTTTTATTTTATTCTATTCTCTGCTTATTATTTTTATTTTAATATTTATTTTTATTACTTTCTAGTTTCGATTTTCTATTTTTATTTTTATTCTTATTCATATTTTTATTTTCTTTTTTATTCTTATTCTAATTTATATTTTCTTTCTTTTTTTATTTTTATTTTTTTTGCCTTAAACTTTCTTTAATTTTTATTTGTATTTATATTTTTTTTTATTTTTTTCTTTCATTAAATATTTTAATAACAGTTACACCTATGAAGTCGGCCCCGTCTTCTCACTAATGGAAACTGAAATCATACGCACCGTTTGTCAATTGGCCGGTTATGTTGAAGGTGATGGCATCTTCGCACCTGGCGGCTCCATATCTAATATGTAAGTAAGCTTCAAGACAAAACAAACTCCAAAGTACTTGAAATTTTCTTTATTTTTCTCCTCGTACTCGTATGCAAGTATTTATGCAAAACAGTTATGCCAACGGCCAACACTTGACTTTGACACATTGAAAACATTAGATGTGCAGAGTTGTATTTGCTTGCTGTCATCTCACAATGCTTTGCTTGCAATCAAGATGTTCAATGGCAAGTGTTACTTTAGGGCTAATTACTCACACCCATGACTAGCTGATAGATGGACAAGCGTATCGGCTTACAAAAGAGGCTTGGAAATTATTTTTGGGTGGGGCCGACAACCGTTTTGACGGCTCAAATGCTTATTTACATGCATACGTCAAAATATTTGTGCATGAACTTGAGTGAGCCTGGCAGCTAAAAACACAGTGTGGTTAAACTTCACAGGGTTGTCTAGGCAATGAATGCTAAAGCGAGTTATGAAATATATTTGCAGTTACACCGTGGGAATTAAAGTGAATTCTTAAATTAGAATGAGTTTCTTATGGGTTCGGACATTCGGACATTTACGAAGTTACGTAAGAAGGTCGGTAGAAGAAATTGCTGGGCCCAAATAGACTCATAGTGATATCTCAAAAAAGCTCAGACTGCTTTTCCTACCACTTGGCTTCCCTTATGAGTTTTATTATCTCAATTTAGTTATTTTGACACACCGCAGAGGGTGTATATGAAGACAACTCCCATAAGCTGAAGTCTGCTTCTGTCTCCGTCTTAGTATTCGTTTTCAATATGTTTCACAACTTCCGTGATAGATGAGATTTTTGTCCTTGATGTAGATAGCTCCCTGGGATTGTACAGAATCTCTATAAATAAATCCATCTAAAAGCTTCGCCTACCACTTGGAGACTATATATATCTCGGACAGAGCATATACATCGTAAGACGCTTCGTGAAGTGATTATGATTACGATTTTGAGGTCTAGCCTGTGAGTACCTGTTGCTCTAACTAGTGCGTTTTGAACAATTTTACTTTTCTACCCAAACTTGATTATTCAATTAACTTAAATTTTCCACAGTGTATACCTCTCTAACTCACACTCTCTCCCTTCTCTCCCTAGGTATGGCCTTGTCTTGGCTCGCTACAAACGTCATCCACAAGTCAAAACGGCCGGCATGTTTGGCATGCGTCCACTTGCGCTCTTCACATCTGAAGAGTCACATTATAGCTTTGTTAAAGCCGCACATTGGTTAGGGCTAGGCGCCGATAATTGTGTGATTGTCAAAACAAATGAACGCGGTCAAATGTTGTCTGATGATTTGGAGGCGAAAATTTTACAGGCGCAAGAGAAGGGACTCGAACCGTTTTTTGTGAATGCCACAGCTGGGACAACAGTTTTGGGTGCGTTCGATGATCTCAATGAGACAGCAGATGTGTGTGATAAATATGGCCTGTGGTTGCATGTAGATGTAAGTATGAGAGCCGAGTTCGAAAGTCTCACATAAAACTCTATTTTAGCAATTGATAAACATTTAATAATCTATCTCGCCAGGCATGTCTTGGCGGCGCAGCATTGGTTTCCTATAATAATCGTCACTTGTTGGCCGGTCTTGAACGCACCCATTCCTTTGCTTGGAATCCACACAAATCCCTCGGCGCACCGTTGCAGTGCTCGCTCTTTCTAACACGCGAGCGTGATCTACTCAATCGTTGCAATAGCATTCAGGTGAACTATCTCTTTCAGCAGGATAAGTTTTATGATGTCTCCTATGACACAGGCAATAAGAGCGTACAATGTGGTCGTAAAATTGATGCTTTTAAATTTTGGTTGATGCTGAAGGCTCGTGGTTATGGCAGTTTCGGTCGTCTCTTGGACCATGCGATAGATATATCCAAGGTTTTAGTGGAGAAAATTAGGCAGCGTAGCAGTGAACGTTTCCGTTTGGTCATGGATGAATATCAGTATATGAACGTCTGTTTTTGGTATATACCGAAGGCGTTGAGAGGACTCGATGAAACGAAGGAGTGGCGCGAGCGTTTGTATGCGGTGAGTAGTTCTTCTGCCGTACGTGTTTGTAAAGAAACATGATTTTAATTGCTTTTCAATGTCAGGTGGCGCCTAAGATCAAAGAGCGCATGGCCTTTACCGGTACTATTATGATCGGCTATACGCCACTGCAGTATCGTAGCCTGGGCAACTTCTTCCGTATGGTATTCACTTGTTTCCCCGTGTTGGAGGAAAAGGAATTGGATTTTATTTTGGACGAAATTGAACGTCTGGGCGACGAGTGCGAGTATTAAGTTGATATTTTAAGGTTAAGATTTTGTTGTACACATAGCTAAGTATTTATAATTTTAATATTTTTGCAAATAAATATTTTCCTGATGGAAAGAAGAAGATTGGTGTCTACTTTTAATTTGGTGTCTTCTCTCAAACTTATATTAAATAGGAGCAATAATTATCTTTTTACTGGCACGCCGTAAATAGATTTACCTAAGAATCACCGATGAGCTTTAATTTCATAGCAGAAATACACTCGGAGGGTTTGGCACTTCCTGGCGAAAGGCGACCGCAGACATAGGAATTAGTTTCTCTTAATTTTGGAAATTGATCGAACCAGTACTCGAATCCTGGCCAGCCGAATGCTAGTACACAATTTTAGCCACTCGACTATTGCGCCCGCTTTCATATTTAGCTTGAAATTGTTTTTTTAATAGGAATGGCCATTTTGCATGTATTAGGCATGCAACTGGTCTACAGTCCTTTTGAGATCCAAGATTACGCGAGTGAACGGTGTATGCATAGTAATCACAAGGTTAGGTTAGGTTGTAGCGGTTGCAAGACGTTGGCTCACTGGGCTCATAGTGATAAGACTAACATTTTTTCAGTTAAGTCTTTAAAAGTCTGAGACATTACGTAGACAAATAGAAATGACTTCGTTTTAACCCAGTCAGTCAGATTATCCTGATCATGTTGGAGCAATTGACTTTCTTTCATCTGCTTTGAATAACTCTCTTGTAATGAGTTTCAAATGGAGAACGCCATACCCATGATGGTGGAAGTGACAGGAAAGTATTATTCTTTGCAAGCTCACCCGGTATGTTGCTTTCCACGGTAAGCCATAATAATTTTCAGTGCTTTTTTTGGGGAAAAAGTTCAGTTTCCTCTCAAGAAAAGGGACTTTAGTCGGGTTAGAAGAAATAGTAGGCAGAAGTAGTGGATGTATACCCTTCTCCCTGGTCTTACAGCGGCTAGCACTGTAACGACTGTCAAAGTTCGAGCCAAATGTTTGTTTTTTATTTAATTTAATTTATTTTTATCTCATATTTATATCTCTCTCTAGTAAATGAATTAATATCTACATAATTCAAAAGTCCAAAGTCTCTTTATACTGATTTTCACATCAAATCCTTGGCACGTATTCTTTAACTTCCACTTCGTAACTCATAAAACCTCGACCAATGGCAATCGGTCACACTAAATAACAGGCGACATGCTAGCGACGAACGACTGGAGCCACCGAACATTAAATCAATTAAAATAAGAAAAAAGAATTGGAATATGGTAAACGAAACCCATATGATTAAGAGAGAAAAAAAGAAAGCAGAGAACGGAGAAATATGAAGCAGTAAAGTACTGACACAAATCCTTAAAGCCAAGCACAGCCACAAAGCAGAATAAAAAAGAATCAACAGTGCCAATATCATATGCCACGAACCCAACACAGTTAGGGCAGTTAGGGCCACAACGAAAGCCACACCAAAACGAAAATAGATTTGTTGTGTTGTGTTATAAAAAAGGAGTATAAAAAAGTAATAAAAGATACTAGTAAGGGCACGGAAGATCATTAAATACCCAACGCAAGTTTCCGTGAAGTCTTAAACCTATAGGGATTGCTTAGAGTTAAAAAATTTCAGCACATCCTTTCACATACACTTTCGTGGTGATTATATCAGCCGTTAGGTTTAAAAGAGGTCAAGTCGATTTTCCAAAGAGCAATAGCTTTTTACAGGAAAACATGAGATCTAAGGCGGAGAACTTGGTTAATCGGTTGAAAAAAGGTGTATCCCAACTAAGCGCTCAATATTATATATTGTTTAAGTTTCTTCTAACCATGCGTGACCACATCTGGAGATGGAAGAATCATAAAAGATAAGACTTCCCAGTTGCGGGAGTGCTGTACACTAATAAAGGTAGTGCTCCAGCGTTTTGTCATACTCTGTGTAAGTAAGTCCTTCACTTAGTCGATTCCACTTTACCTAGCTTATGGAGATGATAACTCAGCGGTAGATGCCCCGTTAATACATCCATTGGTAGGCTGAGTTCTCATTTGCTTGCTTGGTCTAACTATTAGCCACTAGTGCTACGTCCTACGTTGAAGGTGTTCCAAGACCTTAAGTGTTCCTCTGTAGACTGCCGTTTTAAACAACTTTTGAAAAGGCTGAGGGGTCTTAGGCAGTGGATGGGCTTCAGCCTCGCCCACGCCAGCTAGCTCGTCCACCTTTTCATTGCTTTCAACCGTGTGACCTGGAACTCGAATGATATTCACTGTGTTTTCTCATGATAGTTTGTTAATTGTCTCTTTACTGCCCACCACAATTTTCGCTTCGAATACATTATTGGAGTTTTAAGCTACTTTGGTTATTGGCATGATGAAAAAAGGACTCTGCTACTGTGCCTGCCTCACATTAAGACCCATCAGTGTAGATATGGTGAGATAGAGTAATTAAAGTAACAAAATTTCTTTGCTTCCATTTGATGAAAGCGCATCGGCGAGTTGGCCTTATAAAAGATCCCTAGCTGGACATAAAGCTAATTCCTGGCCAGCTTAGTAGTTATGACAGGCCACGTGGTAAGACTAGGGACTCCTTATTGAAGATGCCGCAGTGATGATGATAAGGAAGAAAGAATTACCCAACTCTTGTGCTACTGTCCAGCATTGAGCAAGGGTAGGTTTCGGAAATTTGAAACCAGGTTGCTGGATGATCTATTGAAGGTAGTTAATGTCAAAGTCATAGATCTAATGATGTTCATTAGAGAATCAAAATATCTGGATAATGAAGCCTGATGGTTAAGTCATTGCCGCATCACAAAGGGCATTAGTCAGGCTTAAGTGAACTCGATACGCCACTACAACCTAACTTATGATCTTTTAAGTATATATCCGCAGAGCTTCTGTGTTCTTTTTCCACTACAATCTTAATAAACACGAATGATATGTGACTCCTGGGTACAAAGTAAGCACCACAACAAATCAGTGGCATAAAAGAAAAAGGAAAATAAAACAACCGTCATGAACTTCTGTTGAACTTGAACGTAATGTAAACAAACTTTGCTAAAAAATTGGTGGAGCCCAGACAAACGGCGCAGGTGGTGAAGAAGGCGAAGTTGGCTGCGATTCTGACAATACCAAGCAACCAACATCGCGTTCCTTGTGTAGTAAATAAAAAAAAATTACTAAACTTCTTTAAGGAGTACAGAAGAGAAGAAAAAGAAGGAGGAAGCGAGGAACACAAATCAACAGTAAGGCACTCGCAGTATATGATGAGATGGAAAAAGAAGAAGAATTTTCCAACAGGCAATTGGTTGCGCATGCAGAAATTAATAGTTGGCGACGCGTCGCGGAAATTAAAACTAAAATAAAATGAAATAAAATAAATAAAAAGAAAAAAACACAAAACAGCACCACTATGACAAGATCGTAAAGCATATTTGACAAAGGAAAAATAAAAAATAAATGCATAGACAGAAATTAAGAAAAAGTGCGCGTTAATGAGTCGAGACGATTGGTACGCGTGGAGCCGTCAGGCGTTTGCTCCTTTTAATTCAAGTGCAAAGTGGTCGTGCATGCTTCACAAGCGCTCGCTCGCTGTCTGTTAACATGTGTTGGGCGCATGGCGAGCAGCATGTGAAACCTGGAACTAACAGCAGCTGATTATATCTTATGGAAAAGAGAACGCGGCAAGATTGTCTGCTTTAAAAACCTCTTGTAATGTAGTGTTTTTCGAGGGTTTAGAGATTCACATTTGAAAGAGAAATCAGAAAGCGAACTATATCCACGGTAACGGCGGTAACTATATTCAAAAGTGCAGAAAGGCACTACTCACTACTACACTAAACTCACTACTCAAATTTAGGCGACCTTTTCAGCAACTAGGTGAAGGAAAACTGCCTAGATTTGAATGGCAAAGCCAGGTTTCTTTATACCGGAACTACCCCGATATTTATCCGGCCAAGGTGTATCGCTCGCGTAACATTCCACAAAAACAAAGGATTGACATTCATTCTTTTACCCGACATCGGAACGTCACACAGATCTGAATGACGTAGACTTGCGAGACTCAGCTGCAGAGGCTACAGTGCTACCAAAACACCGCTATGAGGTCCCTAAATAAAGCTTCCTGATGTTGCCTGTGCACCATCTACATTACGGGGCATCTATGTTCCAAGTATCTGCTGGGATGCCGTAGCAGAGTTCACTCCTGCAGATCACAGTTCGAAGTAGAGCTATCCTGGATGCATCAGGGAAGAGGTACTAGACTGTACTAGCTGAATGCAGTCCAGCTATATCTAAGAGATCAGTAGGGTACCACGTCATAGCAACACCGGCATCATCACCGGCAAGAAATCACCAAATTTACCAGAATCAAATATTACAAAAGATTTAGCTTCCGCTTGTTCAAACCCGACCCCGGCATAACCGACATATGTATGACCTGCAATGAGTACCCGTGGAATACAAACCACATCTAAAACCGAAATGAGACCTCCATAGCATCTACTAGCTTTGCCCACTTCTAAACCGCAACCACATTAACGACGAGGTAAAAAGCACTGTAGTATAATTTAAAGCTTGATCTTCATGTTTAAGAACTTTTACATCGTATATAATCTTCTCCATAGCATTTTGAAGTATTCAATCGCACATCTTTGAGTAGCAACGAGCCAAACCAATGGAGGCCTTTCAACCAAAAAGTATATCCAAGTGTTCGCTTTCTGTCCACCAAGTGCACTGAAAACTTAAAAAGTGATATGTGGAACTCTAGCATAACGCCCTGGGCCGCTTACGCTCGTTTTCAAGTTAATGTTTCTTGATTCTGACCGCTTCGATTTGCTGCAAATTTATTCCAAGTGGGGTCAGCCGCTAACCACGCATCGATTGACTGTCTCAAATGTAGCAGAAGAAGTTAATAGATAACAGGATTTAACCACAGAGTGCGCGGCTTCTATTTCTTGGTTTGCTTTGCTCACTAATGTTAGATTTACTTCACTTTTTCCGCCTCTTTGTCGCGCGACGCGTTGAACTGTAACTGCGTAAGTCCATACATATTTTCATACTTAGAGGAATATTGGCATGCCCACTTACATACCTGTCTGCCTGCCTATATATATATATG